AAGCAAGAATGGATTCTTCCACAGGAAAACCAGCACCCTGTGTTTGCTCCAAGCTACCTCAGATGTTTACAGCAGCGACAGTTATTGATATTTTTATTTATTTATTTAAGAAGCAGTAGGAAAAAACCACCAAAAAACCACTTTTCAAACCCATTTCCCAAACGCTCCAGGCTGGGCACTGCGTGCTGTTATTTTTGGAGAGTTCCAGCCCAAATGAGCCCAAACCAAGATGTTTTCCTGGAAAACAGGAGCAGCACGAACGGTGAAAAGAAAAGATGGCATCTGAGCCAGGCCCAGGTGCTGTTTGCAGGTCAGTAATTGCACTCAGCCAGGTTTTTTTTGGTGGGAACAAGGCTGGTTTGTTCAGTTGGGAACCTCTGGAGCAGGGATCAGTCCCACCAAAGCACAGCTGGCTCTGGGATGTGAGGAGCAGCTCACAGCCAACGTAACCAACTTTTGGGTTTTCCACATCAAAGTGGCCCCATCAGCTCACCAGAGTAAAGGCACCCACTGTTCCTGCTCGGGGTTATTAAATTTATTAATTATTAATGGTACTGTTAATGCCCTGAAAGGTGTTTTGTACACCCAGTGCAATAAACATCCCCTGATGTTGGCTGATTTACTCCCTTTTGGGGCTGGAGCCTATTGGTGGAAGAAAGAACAGTTCTTACAATAAAAATATCAGAACAACTCTTTTTTTTTTGCAGAGAAATTTTCCAGCAGCAAAAAAAATCCTCTCCCTCTGATGCCAAAAAACCCCCAAAACAAAACCAACCAACCAAAAAACCAAACCCAAAGCAAACAAAAACCCCACAAACAACAACAAACAAAACCCAAATAGAAATAAACCCCACACACACAAAAAAACCAAAACATGCTCAAAAAACCAAATTTTAGGCACACCAGCTGTCAGAAGCCAATACAACAGGAAGAATATTTCTCTTTATTTCTCTTTTTGCTGCTCCAGTTGTGTGCAGCAGCATCATGAATCTCCTGCTTCAATCCTAAAAATCTCCTGTCATTTCCAACACCTCATCTGGAGCACCCAGCAATTTTCCAGTTATATAAAATACTGGAAATTGATCTAGGCTTTTAGGAAAAAGCTGCAGGAAGCAGTTATTTCCCATTTTCCCCCTTCCCATATACAATCATCCTGATTCTCAGCTGGAATGTGTTTTTTAAGTTCAACTGGATTTATTTGTGGCTGAAATAACTTTTATTTTATGTCCAGAAGCCTCTAAAAAACCTCAAGAATCCATGCTGGTGTCATGGAACACTACATTTTCTATACAAGACTCTTAAAAATGGATTTAATTCTTACTCTGGTAAGAATCATTGCTCTCCAAGTCAAAATCCTGTTTGCCAGGAACTGTTACTTGCTAACATGTAAAATAAATTGTATTTTTGCCACTGCCATTGCTGGGCTCTGAGCTTTCCAAAATGGGGCAACACCCTCCACATTTGCAATGGGATTTGGTTCAGAGAAACAAAATTCAGTTTTTATTCCCTCCAAGTCAGCTACTTCCTATTTTAGAGCCAACTCATTCCAGCCAAACCTGATCAGAGAGGAAATTCCTGAATTTCTTCTGTTCAGCTGAGCTTGCTGCCTGCCTAGAATCCAAGAATTAGGGAAAAATGCGAGACATTAGGTTTATATTCCAATTTTCAGGGACCTTTCCAGCCCAATCAGTGACATAAAATGCACTGAGTTATCTCCAAGCTCCATAATGAATTTATCTGGTTTTCAACCATTTCCTCTCAGAACAGCAAAATAATGGAAATCTTCAATATTTGGGCAATTTTACAGCAAAGCTTTCCTGTTTGCAGCTTTGTTTTTGTTACCACAGCTACACAAGCACATAAACCTTTGTTAAGTGTGCAGATTCAGATATTTTGGAGAGGAAAAGCAGCTCCTAATAAAACTTTGTGAGAATATCCTGGACTCATGCTCCCCCTACAGAAAATCAGGGGCATTTTCCACCTCTCTCTTCAGTGAATTTCAATTTCCAAGAACACTGAAGGAAGCTGACACAGCCCTGGGGTGTAAAACCTGATTATTGCCTTGTCAGACAAGAGTTTTTCCACATGGAAAACACAAATCCTGGGAGATTTAAGATGTTAGGAAGGAATTCTTGCCTGTGAGGGGTGGAAAGGCCCAGAGAAGCTCAGGATGTCCTGAACTGCACCTCGTGCAGCAATGATTTCCAGATTATTTCCCTTCCTTTCAGTTTATTCTCTCCTAGCAGAAAAAAGGGAATTATTTTCAGGGAGTTTCCCAGCTCATCCTTTCCCCCCTCAGCCCACTCCAACTCTTTTGCCAAAATACAAAAATTAAATCACACTGAACCACCCAGAAGTGCCTCAAAGCCCAAAAAGAAAAGCAGAACCCAAAGCAGAACCCAGAGAAAAAGTCCTCTGTCAGGGTTTATTTTAAACACCTGTATTTTTCACAACTCTCTTCGACCATGCAAAAGCAGCTGATTGTATCAGGCTTGTCTCAGGCACAGAAGTTTTTGTACTTAATGAATAATTAGCTCTGAGCTTTGACCAATATCTGGATGTTTTACATGACAGGGGTCAGTCAAAGACAAAAAAAGAACCATTTTTTATTAACACAAAAAGAAATGTGCCTTTTAAGGATGCTCACAAGGCTCCACATAAGAGACAAGAGAACAAAAGCTCCTGCAGGTAAATTCCATGGAATTCTGATCCCATTCCCACCCCACCACAACTCTCAGGAAAACCCCAACCTTTCTGCAGCAAGGCTGTGAAAGAATCCAATTTAGAAAAGAACTTTTTTGTGCCATATAAACAACAGGAATTCTTTCACTGATCCCTTCTCCCACACCTGATTTTTCTTAGGTTCAGCCTCGTCTCAAAGAGAGACTCCAGAAATTCAGCAATGACCACAGGAAAGAGCTCCCACCTCTCCTTTGGGGAGGAAAAGCTGCCAGTTTGCCCTTGGAAAACTCCTTCCTACCGTTTTCATCACAATCAGAAAAAGGTTAAATGGCATCAACATACTTAAATATTTTTTTAATTACAATTGCAGGTTAAAATTTGTGACAGGTGGGGTTTTTTTTTTATCGCTTGGAACTCCTCAGGTAGATCTTGGGGGTTTGCCACCCTGCAGGAGCACTTTTCAAGCCAGCTTTTTTCCAGATGCGCTCCAAATCTTTCTCAAATTTTATCTAAAATAGGAAAAAAAGAGAGAAAAAATGGTAACACAGCTTAGAAACAACAGCCACTGCCCACGTGTCCCAAGGACAGTGTAGGTGTAACACACACAAAGGAAACAAAGGTTTTAAGTGTCAAAATATTGAATTTTACTGCAGAAAAATACATCAGAAGACATTAAAATGCACAGGGATTTTGGCAGTATCATTTTAAAGTCCTGTGCAAGGAAAACTGAGAAGGTGGACAACGAAATGGTAAGGAAAAAGGAAAATAAGAGGATTTTACAGAATTCACTGCAAAACCGAAGCAGTGGAATTACAATTAACCCTAATTTGCATCTGGTCAAGGTGACAATTCCTAGAGAATTAACTAAATTATATTCCACAAAAGGAAAACATGCCCAGCTTCAACAACCCCCCATGTCTTCCCTCACCCCTTCTAGTAAAGTAACAGGTTCTATTAAAAAAAAAAAAAAAGAAAAAAAAGAAACACTTGAGGATGGTGGCAAGAGAGGGGAGAAATGAAGATTAAAGCATTCTCCCTGAGCCAGGGTGGACACATGAATTCATCCTTCACACAAATATGAAATTCATCTCCATTAATCACACATAGTTCTAAATTACTGTCATGGAAGAAAAATTAAGCCCAGCAATTATCACATTTATGTTTGGAATCACAGAATCCCTGAGGCTGGGAAGGATCTCTGAGATCTCATCAGCTGTGAGTGATGTCCACCCTGTCACCTGCAGCGAGTGCCACATCCAGGAATTCCTGGGACACCTCCAGGGATGGGGACTCCAAATCTCCCTGGGCAGCTCCTGGACATCCTTTCCATGGGGAAATTCCTGCTGGTGCCCAAGCTGACCCTCCCCTGGCACAGCTTCAGGCTAAATAAATAAAATAAAGCTACATTCAAAGGGGACAAGTCTCAGTTTTAGAGTTCTTAGTGTCCATGCAGGGAGCAAGACAAAAAAAATCCCTAAATCAGGGATTTGACCCAAAAGTGATGTATCAGCTGGTTTCTTAAATTCTCTGACTCACAGAACTCCTTGTTTCAATTTTATTCATCAGTTTTGTAGGGAAAAATCAAGCAAAACAAGCTGATTTTTCAAGGTAATTTTTCACTAAATCCATTACCCAACACCTAAACAGAAGCTGGTTTTCTTAAATTCTCTCACTCACAGAACTCCTTGCTTCCGTTTTATTCCTCAGTTTTGTACGTAAAATCAAGCAAGACAAGCTGATTTTCCAAGCTCAATTTCCCCTAAATCCACTTAAATCCACCACCCAACACCTGAACAGAAGCTGGGCTGATGTGTGGGCACATTTCTGCCGGGGAGCTCCCCCTCCCCTGAGCTCACCTGACGCCTCTTCTTGCGCCCCTCCTTTATCCTCCTGCGGATGAACTTCCTCCTCTTGAGCAGCTTCTTGTACTTGTGCCTGTTCATTTTCCTCCTGCGGATCTTCAGCACGTTCCTGCAGTGCACCTTGTCACCCAGGCCTGCCTCTCCTTCCTCCACAACCGCTGTGCCAGCAGCAGGGGGACACTCCAAGGGCTGCGGCTTTTCATGGCCGGCTTCTCCCCGCGCGCCCTCGGCTCTGGGCAGGGAGTACCTGACGGTCAGCCAGCTCTCCAAGGGGCTGATGGAGAGTTTCCTGGGAATGAGGATCTCCTCCAGCTCGGGGTCCAGCGTGTGCCACTGCTGGGGCTGGGCCCCGCTGGTGTTGGGGGGCTGGGTGCTGTAGCGCGCGCACGGAGAGCGGCAGCACAGGAACGACGACACCGACCTGGGCAGGAGGTGCCCTTGGGGAGAAAGGGAGAAAATTTGCCCTCAAAAGGCAGAATTTTCCAGGGGAAAAGCTCTGCCCAGCTCTCAAACTGCCTGTTTGTCCTTAAAAAGGGAAACAGAGAGATCTGGCCAGAGCAAGCTGATAAAGGGAGACGCGCTCACAGAAGTTGTATCGGCATCAGAAAAGCAAGGGAGGGTTTTCAGCTTTAACTACAGTGCTGCCATGCTAAAAATGTTGTGTATTTTACTGGGTAAGCTGCCCAGGCAGAGCAGGGTGGAGGTTCCCCTTCAGTGGGAGGTGAAAGGAGTGGAATTCCATGGTATTCAAAGGTTCTCCTTCACGGGGGGAGCAGAAAGTGGAATTCCGTGGTCTTTAGGGTTCCCCTTCACTGGGAGGTGAAAGGGATGGAATTCCATGGTCTTTAAGGTTCTCCTTCACTGGGAGCTGTCCCTGCCCAGCAGGAGTTGGAATTCCATGGTATTCAAGGTTCTCCTTCACTGGAAGGAGCAGGGAGTGGAATTGCGTGGTCTTTAAGGTTCCTCTTCACTGGCAGGTGAAAGGGATGGAATTCCATGGGTTCCCCTTCACTGGGAGGTGAAAGGGATGGAATTCCATGGTCTTTAAGTTCCCTCTTCACTGGGAGGTGAAAGGGATGGAATTCCATGGTCTTTAAGGTTCCCCTTCACTGGGAGGTGAAGGGGGTGGAATTCCATGCTCTTTAAGGTTCTCCTTCACTGGGAGCTGTCCCTGCCCAACAGGATTTGGAATTCCATGGTATTCAAGGTTCTCCTTCACTGGAAGGAGCAGGGAGTGGAATTCCATGGTCTTTAAGGTTCCTCTTCACTGGGAGGTGAAAGGGATGGAATTCCATGGGTTCCCCTTCACTGGGAGGTGAAAGGGATGGAATTCCATGGTATTCAAGGTTCTCCTTCACTGGGAGCTGTCCCTGCCCAGGAGGAGTTTGGAATTCCACAGTGTTTAAGGTTCTCCTTCACTGGGGGTGAAAGGGATGGAATTCCATGGTCTTTAAGGCTCCCCTTCACTGGGAGCTGGAGGAGTTGGAATTCCAGGGGTTCCCTTTCACTGGGAGGTGAAAGGGATGGAATTCCATGGTCTTTAAGGTTCCCCTTCACTGAGAGGTTTCCCTGCCCAGCAGGAGTTTGGAATTCCACAGTGTTTAAGATTCTCCTTCACTGGGAGGTGAAAGGGATGGAATTCCATGGTATTCAAGGTTCTCCTTCACTGGGAGCTGTCCCTGCCCAGGAGGAGTTTGGAATTCCACAGTGTTTAAGGTTCTCCTTCACTGGGGGTGAAAGGGATGGAATTCCATGGTCTTTAAGGTTCCCCTTCACTGGGAGCTGGAAGAGTTGGAATTCCATGGGTTCCCCTTCACTGGGAGGTGACAGGGATGAAATTCCATGCTCTTTAAGGTTCCCCTTCACTGGGAGCTGTCCCTGCCCAGCAGGAGTTTGGAATTCCACAGTGTTTAAGGTTCCCCTTCAGTGGGAGCTGAAGGAGTTGGAATTCCATGGTCTTTAGGGTTCCTTTTCCCTGGTAGCTGTCCCTGCCCAGCAGGAGTTGGAATTCCATGGTATTTAAGATTCCCCTTCAGTGGGAGGTGACAGGGATGGAATTCCATGGTCTTTAAGGCTGTCCTTCACTGAGAGGTTTCCCTGCCCAGCAGGAGTTTGGAGTTCCATGTTCTTTAAGATTTCCCTTCACTGGGAGGTGACAGGGATGGAATTCCATGGTCTTTAAGGCTGTCCTTCACTGAGAGGTTTCCCTGCCCAGCAGGAGTTTGGAATTCCAGGCTCTTTAAGGCCCCTTCCAGCCCAAACCCTTCCATGATCCAGTGAAGTGGAACGTCCTTGTGCTTTAATTTGGAATGGTAAGGGAGGGTTTGCTGTATCAAACCTCTCTGCTGCTAAGGAATCTTCTCCTAAGGTCAAACCAAAGCCACACCATACACACATAAAAAATCAGAGACATAAAAACATTTGACAACCACTGACTCAACAAGATCCTCCTCTCTCCTGCATTGCTTGGTGGAAAAAAAAACCTTCTGGGAGCCCAATTACGCCAGGAAAATAAACCCAAACAAACACAATTTTTGGCCACACAATACCAATTTACCTGCAATTCTCGAAGCCTTCAGTAACTGGGAACTCAGCCGTGATATTAACATTTTGTTTCTCTTTGTTCACTGGCAGAGCCAGCAATGACTGTTCGAATAAGAACATTTATTTCAGTAATGCAAACATGCAGCATTAAAAAACCTTCCCTATTCAACCCCACATGCCCAAAAGACAGGCTGAGACCCTAAACATCCTCCTGGTTTTACCCGCAGTCTACCGGGCTCTGCTGTGGGGGTCAAGCACAGGAGCAGCCGAGCCGTGGAGGCGATTTATTAACAAATAACTAATATTTAACTTTAAAAACACGGCTGCCTGGCACAGCCCCGCTCCACCCTACGGCCGGTAGGAGCAGCCGCGCGGCATAAAAACCGGCTGTCACCGAGGGGCCGCCTCGTTCCCCTCAGCCCTGCCGGCACTGCCGGCGCTGCCCCGCCCCGGGCGGGGTCCGCACGGAGCCCCCGAGCCGCGGAGCTCGCCCTCCCCTCACGGCCCCGCCGCCGCGGCCGCCATCACCCACCGGCCCCGCCGCCACCGGAACTTCCGGCCGGCCGCAGCGCCCCCTGGCGGCGCGCGCGGGCAACGGCCCCTCACGGCCCCTCAGGGGCCCGCGAGGGGCGGGTGGCGGTCCCGCGTGAGACTTTGTGGTTCTTCATGGTCCCTCACGGGCGTTTATCGTCCCTCACGGCCCTTCAGGGTCCCTCACGGCCCCTCAGGGGCCCGCGAGGGGCGGGTGGCGGTCCCGCGTGAGACTTTGTGGTTCTTCATGGTCCTTTAGGAGCCTTTATGGTCTCTCACGGGCGTTCAGAGTCCTTCACAGCCCCTCAGGGGCCCGCGAGGGGCCGGTGTCAGTCCCGCGTGGGACTTTATGGTTCTTCATGGTCCCTCACAGCCCCTCAGGGTCCCTCACGGCCCCTCAGAGTCCCTCAAGGGGCCCGTGTCGATCCCTCGTGGACTTTATGGTTCTTCATGGTCCCTCACAGTCCTTCAGGGTCCCTCATGGCACTTTATGGCCTTCATGGCCCCTCAGGGGCGTTTATGGCCCTTCATGGTCCCTCAGGGTGCCAATCTGGGTTCCTCACAGGATTTTATGGCCCTTCATGGGTCCCTCACAGCCCCCTGTGATTCCCTGAAGGATTCTGTGATGCTGTGAAGGGTTCTGTGATTCCCTGAGGGTTCTGTGATTCTGTGAAGGGTTCTGTGATTCCCTGAAGGATTCCGTGATGCTGTGAAGGGTTCTGTGAAGGATTTTGTGATTCTCTGAAGGGTTCTGTGATTCCCTGAGGGTTCTGTGATTCCCAGGAGGGTTCTGTGATTCCCTGAGGGTTCTGTGGTGCTGTGAAGGGTTCTTTGAAGGATTTTGTAATTCTCTGAATGGTTCTGTGATTCCCTGAAGGAATCTCTGAGGGGTTCTGTGATTCCCTGAAGGATTCTCTGAAGGGTTCTGTGATTCCCCGAGGGCTCTGTGATTCCCTGAAGGAATCTCTGAGGGGTTCTGTGATTCCCTGAAGGAATCTCTGAAGGGTTCTGTGATTCCCTGAGGGTTCTCTGAGGGGTTCTGTGATTCCCTGGAGGGTTTTGTGATTCCCTGGACGGTTCTGTGATTCCCTGAAGGATTCTCTGAAGGGTTCTGTGATTCCCTGAAGGATTCCCTGAGGGTTCTGTGATTCCCTGAAGGATCCCCTGAGGGTTCTGTGATTCCCTGAAACCCTTTATAGTCCCTCATAGCCCTTCATGGTCCCTCATGGGACTTTATGGCCTTCATGGCCCCTCACGGGCATTTATGGCCCTTCATGGCCCCTCACGGTGCCGATCTGGGTTCCTCATAGGACTTTATGGCAATTCATGGTCCCTCACAGCCTCCTGTGATTCTCTGAAGGGTTCTGTGATTGAGGGATTCTGTGATTCCCTGAGGGTTCTGTGATGCTGTAAAGGGTTCTGTGAAGGATTCTGTGATCTTGTGAAGTGTTCTGTGATTCCCTGAGGATTCTCTGAATGGTTCTGGATTCCCTGAAGGGTTCTGTGATTCCCTGAAGGATTCTCTGAAGGGTTCTGTCATTCCCCAGGGGTTCTGTGATTCCCTGAGAGTTCTGTGATTCCCTGAAGGATCCTCTGAAGGGTTCTGTGATTCCCTCAGGGTTCTGGGATTCCCTGAAGGGTTCTGTGATTCCCCGAAGGATTCCCTGAGGGTTCTGGGATTCCCTGAAGGATTCCCTGAGGGTTCTGTGATTCCCCGAAGGATTCCCCGAGGGTTCTGTGACTCCCCGAGGGCTCTGTGTGCTGTTCCAGAGCCTGTCCCGTTGACGCAGGGCTCATGGAAGCACACACACACACACCCCTCCTGCCCCACCCTCGTCTGCAGCCGGGGCAGGGCCCGGTGGCCGCTGTCCAGGGACAGCCACACCTGTCCTCTCCCCTTACCTGCCTGTTATTTGTCTTCTCTGGCTCGGCACAGGAACCCACCATCTTGGCACAGCATGAAAGTGCCTAATCAGCTGGCATGAGGGAGGGATGTGGAAGCCAATCCCAGACTTCAAAGAGCTTTTTTTGCTTTTATACCTACCTCAGCCAGAACACAGGAGATTTATTCACCAGCTGCTTGCAGTATTTCAGACCAGAACAAGGGTCTGTCAGAGATTTATTCACCAGCTGCTTGCAGAATTTCAGACCAGAACAAGGGTCTGCCTGTGGTTTAGGTACACCCCACTGTGTCAAACCCAACTACCCTGAAAGGTTAACGTGGGTTAGAGTTTCTTCCTGAAAATTAGGAATAAAATTCCCTTGTCAGGAAAGAGAAACCTATAAGGAGAAATTAAATGAAGTAAACAGTTCGGTAAACAGACTGTTTGTTTAATCAAGACTTTATTGAAGACATTTCAGAAGTTTATGTACAAAACAACATTCCCACCCCCATATCAGGCTGTTAGTCACCCACTGGGAACAAAGCAAGTGCCTGGTGTACACTGGCAACCTGGGGACACTCAGAGTTTGCCACGGAATTCACAGGAGTACCAAATTCCCTTGGTTTAGAGCTGGGCAATTTCAGCCTTGGCTCAGTTAGGAACAAAGGAAATCAAAGGAGTTTTTTCCTGGAGGTCACTGAGCAGTCTGGAATGTGACAGCCTCACTGGCCTTACCCTGAGGTCAGGTCATTTCATCCTGCAAAGAGCCAGAAGCCCACTTTGGCCTTGGAAGTGGAAAGGAAGCAGCAGCCCCCGGATTTAACCTGCAGGTTTGAATCCATTTCAGAGGGATGCCCATTCCAGGAGATGCCCACCACCGGGAGCACAGCAGTGATTGCAGTTAGAGCAGAGCAGTAGCAATACCAAGTGAAAGACTCAGCCCCTTTTCTTTCCAAACACACCTAGAGAGACGCTGAGTGTCAGACTGGCTATTTCAACAAGCGTGTAAAAACCCCTAGAGACACAGACAGGAGTGGCAAGGTTAAATTGTGACTGAGGAGCTGTTCCTGTGGAGTTCTGTGCACTTCTACCACGGCAGAGTTTCCCCTTGCCAGTCCAGGAAAGAACCATTTTCTTTTTCACCGAGACGGTCCAGAACAGAGAGAATACCTGGGATGGCCTCCTGCACCTGCATGGGAGCCTGCAATGAATCAAGCTTAGGTCATTACTGGGAATACCCTGCAGAAAAGAATTAAATGCATTTCAGGAGGCTCTAGAATGAAGGGGGGTGTATTTTTGTGTGGATGTGACTGGTCAGAGAGAGAGAGAAAGCTAGATAAGCTTTCCCATGAATTGGTCTGAGGGAGCTGGAGAGAAAGAATTAAAACAATCCGCAGGTGGTGTTTTGTAATAAGCTGTTTTCCTCATAAAGTTGTTCACAAAAGGTTGGTTTCTTGGCACCCTTTTTGTGGCAAACTAGAGTACAAAAAGGAGTGGGTTCTTAATAAAGTGGTTATTAGCCTTCAGAGAGTGCACGGAGTGTGTCACTCATTTATCCGTGTCACCTCTGACTCAGTGGTGACATTTCGTGTGTCACAGCACACGGAGCTGTGCAGCCAGGGGGCCGGGGCAGCAAGGGAGCCCCAGTGTGACATTTCCAGCGCTGGCACTCACCATGTTTCCACCCATGTCTGTCTGAAGCCAGCCTGGGTGCAAGGAGATGCAGAGGATTCCGTCTGATTTCAGGTCTGCAGCGAGGCACCGGGTGATCATGTTCAGAGCAGTCTGCAGGGGTGGAAAGCACCCATTAATCTGCGGTTTGTGAGCCTGGAGCACCACCTCAAACCCAGCTGGGGGGCACCTCCCTTCCACCCTGCTGGCACAGCAAGGGGCAGGAAGAGGCTCTCGGTAACTCATCCAGACTTTCTGGGAACTCTGAAAGATCTGCCGCCACAAACTTGCTGCCCCAGAACGAAAGCAAGTTGTAAAGGAAGATAAAGTAGCATTTGAAACGCCTCAGGAGCTGAGAGGAGAATAATATTGACATAAGGACTGTGTTTTTCTGCACTAATCACTACACAAACATTCATTTACTTCTGAACAGGGAAAACAAGCATTTAACAGCTTCTGAGTGGGTGGTGTAGGAGAAGCTGTATGTGTGATCCTGACTATCTGTACAAACTCAATCTCTGGATGTGAGAAAACTGAAAATCCCACCTGTCACTGGCTGACATCACCAGGTACAGGTCAGCACACCTTGTGCTGAGTTTCCTGCCTGCTCCCTCTCTGGGAGCAGAACGCAGCTGATGGAACCCACACTCGATGCCACCAGCTCTTCCCCAAATGCCAAATCCCTCGGGAGTGGATCTGTACCAGGGCAGGGATTTGGGAGCCTGTTCTCCAGGAGCTGCTCCAGCTGCAGCGTTCCACAGCTCCCACTACCACGCACGTGGAGAACAAGAACACTTTTTGTGTCCACAGAGGTGCTGCAGCCCCTGCTGAGGTCAGCATGGTCTCCAGCTGCCTCAGCCAGGGAGCACAGCCCAGGGCAGCCCACAAACCTTTGCTATCCTGTAGGGATAGACCTTGAGGAACATCTCATTGGCCTGGACGAGCTGCATGGAGGCAGCCAGAGAGGACATGTTGATGATGGCAGCTCTGTGACAGCCCATCCCCGTGCCCAGCCGCGCTGCCTTCCTCAGCAGCGGGAGGAACGCCTGTGGAAAACAGAGCTTGCTTTCAGCTGCTGACTGGGGTTGGAGCTGGATCATTCCTCATTCCAGTGGAACCCTAGCACAGCCTGGTGATGGCTCCTCAGAGCCCGTGGCCAGAGGAAACCTTCCTCCAGCAGCCTCCCATCCCCACCTGCCACGAACTGACCCCACACCAGGGGCACAAACAGCAGCTCCATGTCAGAACCATCTCTGTGCAGTTCCCAGGGCACAAATACCTGGACAGGCCAGCTCACCTGTGGAAAAGCCCCGGGCTAAGGCCATCCCTCACCTTGGTGACCATCAGCTGGGCCACGGTGTTGGTTTCATAGATGGTGAGCATGGTCTCTGCCGTGACCTCCTCCAGCGAGGCGAGCACGTTGATGCCAGCGTTGTTGATGAGGCAGTTCAGCCCTTTGTCTCCCACAATTTCTTCCACTTCCTTCACCACTTTCTTGATGCTGTTCTCACAGACCACGTCTGCACAGGAAAAGCCCCAAGTGAACAGTGCAGGGTGTGCCTGGCACGAGACAACCCGTGCCAAAGCAAAGCTGAGGCTCAGTGGGGACATTTGGGCAGCACACAGGTGAAAATGCACAGATTTCACAGAATTACATTTCCCCAGTGTTATCTTGAGATGGTTTTCAGGTCCTGGAGATCGTGTCCAGCTACTGATCACTCAGGAGACCAATTTTTTTAAGATGCACTCACCTAAGCTGAACAAAATTCAAAAATAAAGCCCTTTACTCACCCAGTTGCAGGAGCTTGATGTTGCTGTATTGCTTGCTAAGCTGCTGCAATTCCTAGGAAGAAGAATTATTTTTATTTTATATATATATGTATATCTCCATGGCTATTGCATAAATCACTTTGAATTCTGCACCTCCAGAATTGCAACTGAAATATTTTCCTGATTGGACTGAAGGCAAAGATTCTCCTTTGTTTCCCAGCCTGCTGAGCAGCTTTCCTAAGAGCCAGATCAGGAAATTGGACTCTTCCCCTGCTTAGTCCAAAGTCCAGCGTGCTGGACTTTTAGTGGGATATTTCTCAGCTCTAGTGCTCAGTTCTCAGCATTCCAGTAAAAATCCAGTGCCTCCCCAATTCTGTGAGAAAATCATAATTCTCCTGAAGCTCAGCTAGTGCTGGACAGCCCTTCAGGGCAACAGCAATGCTTTTAAAAAAACATTTGGAATTCCTGTTTGAAATAAAATTTCATTTCCCCATGGGAATTTCGTTTCCCCATGGGAATTTCATTTCCCCAGCAGCCTCGTTAACATCAGTTCTTGTAAGTGGAGGTGAAGCCCACCAAGAAGCCAGCCACTGTCCGGGGGAGCAGCTCCCTCCCTGCTGGAGCTGTCCCAGTGCCTGTCAGCAGGGCAGGCCGGTGTTCCTGCAGGAATCCGTGCTCTCCCGGCTGCGCTGAGTGTGTCCAGGCTGGATTTATGGGCCCGGCTGGAATACTCGGGTTTCTGTGCCATGAAGCCAAGAGGGAAGCGTGGCCAAAGGCAGCAGATGGATTCCATATTCCCAGTCATGTTCAGGAGACGCAGCAACCTGGCCAAACATTCCAGCCCCAGCAAATCCCTCTCTTTAGGAGCCCTTTGGGAATAGGGGTCAGGGGGGCAGCTTTGGAAAGAATCCTTCCCTGCCCCTTGGAGGCACTTGAGGGACTCGGTGTCCTCTGACAAAGCGGAATGGATCACATCTTTTATCTCACATCAGACCCTGCAGGGCTCTCTCAGGCTCGTTCGGGAGATTTGTTCTCCCACCGAGGCCAATCTACAACTGCAGTTAAGGCTATTAAGGGGAGGGGGAAGGAAAAACAAGTCAGAAGCACAAAACCAGAAGACATTCCTTGCTTTGGACAGGGCTTGGTGGGACAGATTTCCATAAATTAAAGGCCCAGAACACACTGTCTTGTTTGTTGATGAAATAGCTCTGCCGTGTCAAGGCCTGCAGTAATTCTGTGCCTTTGGATTGTCCTGGATTTCAGTTTGACAGTATCACTCAGTGCATAATAAACTCCAGGAGTGCTCTGGCTGCTCTGGCTTTGTCCATTTATTTCTAGTTCATTTATTTATATGCTTTACTCTCCGACAGAAACGAGCTACCAGCTCCTGCTGAAAGGCAAGAGCTGCTCTGAGGAGCAGCAGCAGCTGAGAGGCTCTGAAGTGAGCAAGCAATATTTCCACTTAACAACTGAAGCATTCTCCAGTACACAACATGAAATTACAATAGCTGCATGCAAATTAGGTTTAAAATTCAATGGGTTTTCCAATTAATTACTCAGTTAACAAGTGACTCCCACTTCAGGGGTTTAAATTTCTGAGAAGCAGCTCCCAGCACAAAGCTGATCTAGGCAGCTTTGGTCTTCGAGAGTGTTACACCTGATATAAGCTGAAAAATCCAGTTAGAACATCTAAAAGTTGCAGGAAAGCCCATTTTCCCCCTCCTGTGACTGGAAGGAACATGAGAAAAGGAGGACTGAGACAAGCAGGTACAGCCAACATATCGCAGCTAAGGCATTTTTAATTAGTGTGCTGTGACAGATAATTTAAAAACAAACAAGACAAACAAAGCCCAACAAAAAGCCACAGCACAACTCCCTAACAGTGTGTTTATTTAGCGTAGTAGCTGCAGAACTGCTCTGCACCTGAACAATCACCCCTGAGAATCAGCTCGTGGGGAGTCCAAGACAAGAATTAAACTCTGATTAGCATCTGTTGTTTCCTGCTCGCTGATTTTTAATTACGATTAACAGAGTCAGCCTTTTCTGATTTAAACAAGATCCTCTGGCACTCAGGGCTCCAGACACAGACTCATCAGCGCACAGGGTATTTATTGCTAGATTTCAAGCAGGAATGTTTTGTTGTCTTTGTCATTTAGCAAGATTTACTTTGCCTTCTTTATGAAAGCATTATCCTCTTCAGTTACAGCTCTTGGAAAGGGCCTGGCCCCACTCAGCCAGTTGGAAGCAATCAAGCCAAACAAACACAGCCTGCGGGCAGGATAAAGGTGCCTGGGTATCCTTCACCTCGTCCTGCTCGGCTCGGGACAGAGCCAGAGGTGTATCCTATTTTCCTGCGTCCCTCTGAGACAGCTTTTCAGTATCACAGTGTACAGCCAGCTCGTTGTTCAACCCTGGAACAGCTTCCACAGCACTGCCCTGACCCACAGCCCTCTCTGACTCCAGAAAAACCAGACCTCGCTGCTGTAGGAAGTGTAAAACACTCCCAGAAAAAAAAAAAATCAAACAAAACGACTCTGCAATAACCCAGGACTAGAAAGACTTCAGGAATGCCCTCTCTGCCTGATGTACATTCAGAAATGCCCCCTTTGCCTGATCAATCTGGTGCACAGATCGCTCAGCTGCTCTTCCCAGTTGCAATCCACATGGCTGAAATGTGTGTTAAAGAGAAAAACAAGCCCCAAAGCTGACAGAGACAGCGAGCAGGGACAAGGGAACAGGCACAGCCTGGAACAAATCTGCACTTTCAGCCCCGGGAGCTTCCCAGAGCTCTGCAGGACTCGGGCACTGAGGGATGTGCTCACCTGGGAGCTCGCTGGGGCTGGGGGGAGCAGGAGGAGCAGGAGATGCTCCTGGGCACATCCCACAGCTCTGGGCACTTTTAAATTTAATTTTTCACCCCGCGGCCATCTCCTCCTTCCCCATCACACAGGAGACCCCAGGGGCTGCAGCGATTTTAAATGCAGACCTTTAGGGCAGAGTTTTCCCTTTCATAGGAAAGCGGGATGGGGGAGGAAGGAGCAAAGAAGGGAAAGAGGAGTGTGGGGAGAATTGCAGCTTGTGCTCCCTGGTAACGCCAGCACTGGGGCTGTGCCCATCCGGAGAGCAAAAACAGGACACCAGCACTATTTCCCAGGAGATTTGTGGCTACTCCCACTCTCAGCCCAAGAAAAAGCAGATTGGGATCAGAGCGTGGCTGGAGGAGTCTCCGGTGCTGCTTTTCCAGGAGGGGCAGTGGTTATCTGGCTGCCTGCTGCACGTTATCGTGTGATCTGCAGCCCATTTGTTAGGCAAATGTTCTGGGGAGGCCACCTAGGAGCTCCTCAGCCCCAGAGCTCGAGTTTTCACAACTTCTGCCAGCACAGACTCACATGCAAAAGCCTGCAGCTGTTCAGCATTACCCAAGGTTAGGGAGTGCAGGAGATGTGCTGCTTTTCCTGGTGAGGAGAGGAAAGCACAGTCACATTTCCACAGTCACATTTCCACAGCATCTTTGGAAAAGCCCCTTTTGGAAGGGGCTCTTCTCTGTCCGCTCTTTGGAGGGCTCCAAAATATTCAGCCATCACTCTGCTGAGGGATTCCTGCCCAAGGTGGAGCTGCGTTTGCCAGCAGTGAAGTGTATTTAATCACTTTCCTCTAAAAATTGGAAGATTATTTTTAAGAGCCTTTTCATTTGAGCTCTGCCCATCTCCATTCTGCCACGGGAAAATGCTGCTCTGCCAAACCAGAGGAGAGCAGAATTTAAAGGAACTGTCCAAAGCTGCTGCTCTCCAGGTTCATCCTCTCATGCAGGAGAGGCAGTGGGGGACAATTCTCTTGTACCAAGGAGGATTTTTTTCTATGATCAACAAAAAAAAAAAAAAAAAACAACAAAAAAACAAAAAAACAAAAAACAACCAAAATCGCAAAATCGGACCCCCTGAATGCAGTCAAGAGAAAAAGCACTGACCCAGGTGTGCAGAGAAAGAAAAACTCCCTCAACTTCCCACAAACAGGTCTGAGATGGGCCAAGCCCGTTTCATGTGCCCCAAATTGAGCCTGCAGGGCCAAACCCTGGAGAGCAGGAACCTGAACTCAGGGAGCTCAAAATGTGACTGGAAATTCAGTGATGGAAAGGAAATTCGGGAAAGGAAATTCAGGAAAATAATTTCCTTTTTAAAAGTAAGAAACTAGAGATCCCAGTTAAGAAATTATTCAAGGAAAGGAAAGGAAAGGAAAGGAAAGGAAAGGAAAGGAAAGGAAAGGAAAGGAAAGGAAAGGAAAGGAAAGGAAAGGAAAGGAAAGGAAAGGAAAGGAAAGGAAAGGAAAGGAAAGGAAAGGAAAGGAAAGGAAAGGAAAGGAAAGGAAAGGAAAGGAAAGGAAAGGAAAGGAATTACAAGAAATTCACGGAACCTTTGCCTTTCCTGCCCCACTCAGCAGCACTGCCAGGCTGGAGCCAGGCTGGGAGAGCAGCAGCCGGATTTGGTGCTGCCATGACCAAGATTCCCCGTGCTGGAGGCTGGGGCAGGTCTGTTCTTGCCCCCTGGCAGCCCCAAGGAGCAGTGGGAACACTCCCAGAGGGTCAGAAAGTTTTGTGCCGGCTCCGTGCGTTGCAGATGGGGCAGATAATGCTGGTGAAACCACTACAATACCTTTAGTGAAGATTTCTCTTCCTTGTGGAGTTTCCAAACCCATCTGTTAGAAATCTGCTTTCAGCTGACTGCAGAGGTTTCTATTGATGTCCTGCCAAAGCACAGCACATGGCCTGGAGGTCCTCACAGAGAACAAAAACCCACCCTGATCCACCGAGGACAAAACCTGCCCCCCTAAAAAATGCAAAAGCTCGGGATGCACCCCATGTGGCCGGCAGGAGCCCCGGGGGTTGCTGGAATGTGGCTCCTGGCCAGTTTCCTGCCTCCAGGAGACCCTGCCAGAGGCTTTCCAGGTTTCTCCCAGCAGCAAGGAGTGACCCAGACTCTTCCCAGACACACTGCACTGTCTGAGGGCTGTTTCATCTTCCCCTGCAGGTTTACAGCCTTTTTGCTGCAGATTTTTAAATACTGACAAGACAAAAACACCCCCAAAAGTGATGAGTTGTGCTGAGATTTGCCCGGGTAGTGTTTCCTAGGAAGCTCTTCCTGTTGAAGGAACCATTTCACTGCTCCGTGTAATGGATCCGAGACCATTAGGATGAAAAATCACAGGTGAAAAAGAGGAAAAAAACCTCCCTCAGCAGTGGCTGGAGCAGCTTTAGGACAAACAATCAGGCAGGGAGATTTTGATCTCGCACAGGTCAGATGTCTCTGCTGCTTTCCTGTGCCACTACTACAGCGGGCTCTTGTGCAATCATTCATAGGAAACGGGGCTGGGAGCGGGGCCAGGAGGGGAACGGGAGTTAGAGGGAACAGAACGGGGTGAATTTCTGCTCCGTTACTGCCAGGAGGGGAACAGGAGTTAGAGGGAACAGAACGGGGGGAATTTCTGCTCAGGGCTTGCCAGGAGGGGAACAGGAGTTAGAGGGAACAGAACGGGGTGAATTTCTGTCAGGTGCTTCCAGGAGGGGCTGGGGGGAACAGAATGGGGTGAATTTCTGCTCAGGGGCTGCCAGGAGGGGCTGAGGAACAGAATGGGGTGAATTTGTGCTCAGGTTCTGCCAGGAGGGGCTGGGGAGAACAAAATGGGGCGAATTTCTGCTCAGGTTCTGCCAGGAGGGGCTGGGGAGAACAAAATGGGGTGAATTTCTGCTCAGATACTGCCAGGAGGGGCTCAGGAACAGAATGGGGTGAATTTCTGCTCAGGGGCTGCCAGGAGGGGCTCAGGAACAGAATGGGGTGAATTTCTGCTCAGGGGCTGCCAGGAGGGGCTGAGGAACAGAATGGGGTGAATTTCTGCTCGGGGGCTGCCAGGAGGGGCTCAGGGGGAGCCCACAGGGAGCAGCAGCCCTCAAAGGGAGCTGTACACCTGATCCCAGCCTTGCCGGGCTGTTTCTCTGCACTTTCATTCAGAAATACCCTAAACGTACCTTTGTGCTGGAGAGTTTTTTGTAAGATTAAGATCTTTTCCTTCAGTTTCACGAGGAGCTGCAGAGGTCAGGCTGCAGCTGTCACCTGGCCAACCCTGTCCCACATCCCAGCACCACCTTTCAGAGGTTTTTTTGTAGCTAAGCAGTAAACAAAGTTGCTGTGTTTGGTTTATTGCTAGGACAGTGTGAACACAATCTGTGTGAACGGAACCAAATCCCCCAGAAGGGGGACGGACAGACAGACAGACACAGGGGCTCTGTTTCCCTCTGGAATTTCCCTTCTGCCTTGCTGGAAATGCAGGGATGGGGCTGTGGGTGTCAATTCTCCCTCCAAATGCCAGCGGGGCTGGGGACAGGCGCAGGGCTGAGCTCGGCGTCCTGCAGCGCCGGGAGGAGCCGGGGATGGGGACCCGTGCGAGTTTCTGTGCTGCCCAAATTCCCCCTCTCCTCCCGGGCTCAGCCCGCACATACAACAGGTGACACCGCTGGGTCACCCCCAGCGATCTGCCTCCCAAAAGTCTTAGAGGTGTGTGAAATTCTCTCTGTGAAATTTGAATTTTAAAGGCTCCTATGAAAGCCTACAGGAGTCCCCAAACGACTGCGATGCTGCAGCAGCAGAAACTTGGGCTGAAATCGGAGAGAGATGCAAGTGGATCCAGGAGCAGCAGGTACCAAAACCTCCCGATTCCAGCGGGAACTCCGAGCCCTGCCCAGCAGAGTGGGGAACTCAGAGCAGTGATTAATTCACCGCTCATCTGGGCTTCCTCACTCGCAGCCCAAAAAAAGAGGCAGGCAGGGCGCACGGCTCCTGCTGGGGACACAGACACGCGTGGTGAGAGAAGCGGATTTCTCCCAGGGGAAAGGTTTCTGAGGGATGAGGGGCTGCCCCTGCAGGGCTCCGGGCCGTGCAGACCTGGGCAAGGACAGCACAGCCCTCTCCAGCAGCAAATCCAGCGAGAAACTCGGGGATGAAAGGCAGGGGGTGGCAGGAGCGCTGGAGATGCTGCAGCTGCCCGGCCGTGTCCCGCTCGCTCTCCTCCTCCAGGAACGCTCCCCATCATCGGTAAACCCCGGCTCCAGCCCCGGAGAGCTGCTCGGTATCGGCTCCAGCCCCGGAGAGCTGCTCGGTGTCGGCTCCAGCCCCAGCCCGGTTCCAGCCCAGCCCGGGGGCTCCGTCCCTGCTCCAGCCCCAGCCCGAGGGCTCGGTCCCGGCTCCATCCCAGCCAGGCTCCATCCCCAGCCCGAGGGCTCGGTCCCGGCTCCATCCCTGCTCTATCCCCAGCCCGGGAGCTCCGTCCCGGCTCCATCCCCAGCCCGGGCTCTCGCTGCCGCACAAGGATGCTCGAGATGTTCCCCGTTTCCAAAGTGCCTTCTCCTCCCTCCCGACCCCTCTACCCCTCTCCGGGGACCCCCGGCGCCCCCTCCCCTCTCACCTGCGCCTTCTCGGGGTACCTGCAGGTCGCAAAGACCAAATCCGGGGAGGGGCTGGCGGCTGCGAGCCCCCGCACCAGCCCCAGCCCGATGCCGCGGCTGCAGCCGGTGATGAGCACGGAGCGGCAGCGCGGCTGGGCCATGCTGCCTCGGCTCGGCTCGGCTCGGCTCGGCCCGCTCCCGGCGCTTCTGGAGCCCACGCGCTTCTCAACCTGCGCCGAGCGGGGCCGGCCCCGGGCCCGCCCCCGCCGCGGCACCGCCCCAGCCCGGGGCAGGGGCAGAGAGAGCCCGGGGAAGGGGAATTGGATCAGTCCCCGCCCGGGGAAGGGGCACCGAGAGCCCGGGGAAGGGGATGGGCTCTGTCCCCGCCCGGGGAACGGGCACCGAGAGCCCGGGGAAGGGGAATTGGCTTTTCTCCGCCCGCCTCCGGGGCACGGAGGGAACGGTCAGGGGAAGGGGAGTTGGTTCTGTCCCCTCCCGGCTCCGAGGAAGGAAATTGTCCTTTCCCCCCTCCCGGCTCCGAGGCAGAGAGAGAGCCCAGGGGCAGGGATGGGCTCTACCCCCGCCCGGCTTCGGGACACGGAGAGAGCGCCCAGGGAAAGGGGAATTGGCTCTGTCCACTCCCGGCCCTGGAGCAGAGAAATTGTCTTTTCCCCCTCCCGGCTCCTGGGCAGGGAGAGAACGATCAGGGGAAGGGGAATTGGCTCTGTCCCCTCCCAGCTCCGGGGCATGGGGAGCCCAGGGGAAGGGGAATTGGTTCTTCCCCCTGCCCCAGGGACTCGAGCCCATCCCGCTCCCGGCCGCTGCCCAAACCCCGTTCCACCGGTTTCAGAGCCGTGCGTGTGACAGCGGTGGCCGCAGGGCAGCCCCCGGGCCCTGTGACCCTCACTCGGAGCGGGACAAGGCTGAACTCGCTGCCCCGGCGGGCAGGAGAGGATTCAGCTCTGGAGCGGGGGATGAGGCAGAGGAAGGAATGAATCCCCGTTTCTGCACTCCCCACGCTCCTGCCCAGCCTTCTCAGGGTGTGCCAGGCACCAGTTCTGTCCGTTCCTCGCCGTGGGTGACGTGGTCTGGAAATCAGCACAGGATCCTGCCCTTACTCATCCTCATCCTCAGCCCTGTGCCTTCCCAGATCAATAACAAAGCTGTTTGTTACTCATCTGCACACTCATGCAGAAACTGGTAATGGAGGTTTAAATTATTTTAAACTATTACATCTGTGAGCACAATAATGCTCTTTTCTTGCTTAAAGATCACACTATTAAAATATTTTCATCCTTCTAGAGGTCAGGGATAGACTCAGCCCTTGGACCTGGCAAACTGAAGAACAAAGATTTAGTAATTTGGAAAAATTCTGTGGAAAAGCCTCAAACAGCTGCTGTGTCTGCCTGGTTTCCCTTTTGTTGGTTTAATTCTAAATACCTGTAACAGCTCCAAAAATATACAGGACTTGTTTATATTAAAGCATTGCTGCTGCAGAGCTCAGGTTCGATGTTACATCACATTCTCAGGGGAGATGAGGATGACAAAATCCTTCCAGGCATTTCTCCTGCCTCGGAGCTGGCTGTGAGCAGAGCTGAGCAGGGGCTCGTGGAGCAGCCCGGCCTCCTGCTCCCTCAGCCTGGGGAAAGCTCAGCCTGAGCCTCAGCAGCTGGGGCAGCGAGGTGCCCTGGACACCAATACCTGCTTCTGTCTTTTCTTCCACATAAAGCTCCATTCCTGCAACTTCTGTCTCACAAACAGCAACGCTCCTCTTGCCCAGGTGCTTTAATTTAATCCATCACCTTCCTTCCCTCATTTCGGAACAATTTCCTTTGTGCATTACCACCACGCTGCTGGGGTTGGAAATTAATTTTTCTTTTAAATCCAAAAACTGCTTAGTGACCTCTTTGTGCTTGGGATGTTGGCACAGCTGGGATTGGCAACCTCTGGGCTCTGACCTGGGAAAGCTTTGGTGACACGGTGAATTTACTGCTGGCTGAGCCATTTCTGGGAAAACACGCAGGATTGTTTCCCAGGAAGTTTGGGGTGGGGGGCCAGAGCAGGTAAGAGCATTTATCTGAGGAATGTGCATCAGCACCTGGCCAAGCCTGTAACTCTGCCACCAGTCAGGTTCCAGTGCTGTCCCTTCAGAGAACATCCCAGGGCAGGAGGAACTGCAGGTGAACACCAGAAACAGAGCAGAGACCACCCTGAGGGAGCTGCTGATCACCCAGAGCCACCCTGGAGGCACCAGAGTGGAGAAAACACAGCCAGAACTCACCTGAAGGGCTGAGAGCTGCTCACACACACACGAGCACCTGGGGCTTTTCATTCCAGGTGAACTTCTGCAGCTCCAGCCACGGGACCCTGCCCTGCTCACGAGCAGCACTGACCCCTCAGTGTCCCAGCAAACCCACCAGGGATGTTGTCACCCCCAAACTGTCACCCAATGTCCCAGCAAACCCACCAGGGATGCTGTCACCCCCAAACTGTCACCCAATGTCCCAGCAAACCCAGCACAGATGTTGTCACCCCAAAACTTTCACCCCTCAATGTCCCAGCAAACCCAGCACAGATGTTGTCACCCCAAAACTTTCACCCCTCAATGTCCCAGCAAACCCAGCAGAGATGTTGTCACCCCAACATTTTCACCCCCAACGTCCCAGCAGACCCACCACAGATGCTCAGCCACCCCAAAATTGTCACCCCTAAATATCCCAGCAAACCCTACAGATGTTTAGCCTCCAATGTCCCAGCAAACCCAGCAGAGATATTCAGCCACCCCAACATTTTCACTCCTCAATGTCCCAGCAGGCCTACCACAGATGTTGTCACCCCAAAATTTTCACCCCCAATGTCCCAGCAGACCCAGCACAGATGTTCAGCCACCCCAAAACTGTCACCCCTCAGTGTCCCAGCAGACCCCCCAGGGATGTTCAGCCACCCCAACATTTTCAGCCCCCAGGGAGTGGCACGAAGCCCAAGGGATGGGATCTCCCCAGGCCCAGCTGTGCAAGAGATCCAGCCCAGCTCCTCCTCCTCGTCCAGGTGAGGAGGGACAGAGCAAACACAGCTCAGGACACTCAGCTGGACCTGGCAGCTGCTCCTCGAGTCACAGAAATGCACTTTCCTCCTCAAATCTTTGTGGATTGGGGGATTTTGTGTTTGGTGCCCAAAATTCCTGCCTTTAAGGGAATGAGGATTGAATTCCAAGTCTTGAATCTACTCCAGTTTAAAAATCTCTTCATTCTGCACCAATTTCTTTCCTTATGAGTAGGCACAAGTGGTGTAGCTCATAAGAAACTCAAGTGAATGTAATAGAAAATCAAATACTTTAATGAAATTAGGGAGCATGAGAGTAACAGCTCAGATATACCACTAGAACTGATACTACTGGGCTGTGGGCTCTGCTAATTGCTTTTTAAATGCTCTGTTCATCAAGCATGCAGACTGACAATCTACGAATTCTTCAGAGTGTCAAAGATCCTGAGTAAAGAATTTTCAACCACTTCAAAGGGATATATAGGAAATGTCTTCTGAGCTGGTGGCCTGCACACAGCATTGCACAGATAAAAATATACTACTCTCAATGCACAGAGCTAAATACTTTCACATTTATCAGAATTTTCTACACAAGTCTTTTTTTTTCTTTTTGATAGAATTCAAGTTTTGAATTTTCTGTATATATCTTCACCTGTATTAAACAAATGCTTATTTACATTGTGGGTAAAGTGTAAAGGCTAGGAAGGCCATTTTCCCATTCTGTACTGTAACACTGCAAAATATATATACACAGAGAACCTAATATAGGCAACAGGTCTAAAAAAAGTCACCTCCCACCTGCACAACACCACCGAGCCAGCATGAACAGAGGGCATTGTTAGCACCAAACCACTCCTGGGGGCTCAGGAGCTTTCCAGCTCCACGGGGAAAACTGCTGGGCACAGCACTCCAGGGATGGCCCACGGGATGGGCTGTGATCCCAAACACTGTGCTGGGGGGATCCTGAGGGGTGGGACAGGAGCTCCATGGGAGGGACAGGGACAGCACAGGGCACTCCTGGCATCACTGCCACCCTGCCAGCCTCTCCTTTGGATTCGGGGATGGGCACAAGCTCAGCCACAGGAACCCTGCACAGCCACGGGGAGGGGGCTCTGCTGGCACAGGGAAGCAGCCCTGGTTCACCCGTGGTGCCAGAGGGAATTCCCGAGGGAAGCAGCCCTGGTTCACCCGTGGTGCCAGAGGGAATTCCCTCGGGAAGCAGCCCTGGTTCACCCATGGTGCCAGAGGGAATTCCTGAGGGAAGCAGCCCTGGTTCACCCGTGGTGCCAGAGGGAATTCCCTCGGGAAGCAGCCCTGGTTCACCCATGGTGCCAGAGGGAATTCCTGAGGGAAGCAGCCCTGGTTCACCCGTGGTGCCAGAGGGAATTCCCTCGGGAAGCAGCCCTGGTTCACCCATGGTGCCAGAGGGAATTCCTGAGGGAAGCAGCCCTGGTTCACCCGTGGTGCCAGAGGGAATTCCCGAGGGAAGCAGCCCCATCTCACCAACTGTGCCCAGCTGCTGGTGGAAATCCCTCAGGTGGGCATTCCCTGGGGAAGCAGCCCCCAGCTCTGTGCCTGGGGTGCCAGAGAGAATTCCCTCAGGGACCACCCCAGCTCACCGGAGGGAATTCCCTCTGGGAATTCCAGGAAGCAGCCCTGGCTGACCAGGAAGGAACCTGATGGGCTCACCAGCAGGAATTCCTTTGGGAAGCAGCCCTGGGCAGGAATCCCCCCGGGAGCAGCCCAGGCAGGGCTCACCAGCAGGAATCCTCCCAGGAGCAGCACAGGGCTCACCAGCAGGAATTCCTTTGGGAAGCAGCCCCAGCAGGAACCCCCCTGGGAAGCAGCCCCAGGAAGGACTCACCAGCAGGAATCCCCTTGGGGAGCAGCCCAGGGCTCACCAGCAGGAATCCCCCCAGGGATCAGCCCAGGAAGGGCTCCCCCCAGAGCAGCCCCAGGGCTCACCAGCAAGGAGCCCCCAGGAGCAGCCCCAGCAGGAATCCCCATGGGGAGCAGCCCCATCAGGAGCCCCCAGAGCAGCCCCATCAGGAATCCCCTGGGGAATCACCCCAGCAGGAGCCCCCGGGCTGGAATCACCCCAGCAGGAATCCCCTGGGGAATCACCCCAGCAGGAATCCCCTCGGGGAGCAGCCCCACAGGAGCCCCCGGGCTGGAATCACCCCAGCAGGAATCCCCTCGGAGCAGGAATCCCCTCGGGGAGCAACCCCACAGGAGCCCCCGGGGGGGAATCACCCCAGCAGGAATCCCCTGGGGAGCAGCCCCAGCAGGAATCCCCTGGGGAATCACCCCAGCAGGAATCCCCCCAGGAGCAGCCCCACAGGAGCCCCCGTTGCTCACCAGCGGTGCCGGCTGTGCCCGGCGTGCTCCCTGTCCCTGTCCCTGTCGTAGCGGTGCCCGGCGCGCTCGTAGGAGCGGGCGCGCTCGTGCCGGTGGTTGCGGTAGTAGTGGCTCTTCTTCTTGTACTTGCCCGAGCGCTCGGGGCGCTCGCGGGAGCGGCTGCGCGAGCGGGACGAGCTGCGCGAGCGCGACCGGCGCGCCTTGGGCGCCGCCGGCTGTTTGTAGTCCTTGGACTTCTTGTAGGCGCGCGCCTTGGAGCCCTTGTAGGCAGAGCTGTGGTTGAGCTGCCTCGGGGGCGAGTCGCTGCGGCTCCGCGAGCGGCTCTGCGACTTGGAGCCGCTGGACGTGGAGTAGCTCTCGCTCTTCCTGCAAGAGAAAACACAGCAAACACGGCTGAGTTTGAAGAACCTCACTCTGGATTTTGATGGTTTCTTGGATTTTAAGACCTTCCTTCCTCATTTTGAATCTGAAGAAGGTCCTTCCATATTCTGAGTTTCAAGGTCCTTCCACATTTTGAGTTTCAAGAAGGAAGGTCCTTCCACATTCTGAATTTGAAGAAGGTCCTTCCTTCCATAGTCTGAATTTCAAGAAGGTCCTTCCACATTTTGAATCTCAAGAAGGTCCTTCCACGTTGTGAATCTGAAGAAGGTCCTCCCACATTCTGAATCTGAAGAAGGTCCTCCCACATTTCGAATTTCAAGAAGGTCCTTCCACATTTTGAATCTGAAGGTCCTTCCATGTTGTGAACCTCAAGAAGGTCCTCCCATGTTCTGATTTTGAAGAAGGTCCTTCCACATTTTGAATTTCAAGAAGGCCCTTCCACATTCTAAAATTGAAGAAGGCCCTTCCACCTTTTGATTTTCAAGAAGGTCCTTCCACCTTCTGATTTTCAAGAAGGTCCTTCCACCTTTTGCTGTTTCATTGAATTGAAGAACTTAATTCTGGATTTTGTTGCTTTCTTGGATTTTAAGACCTTACTTCCTCATTTTGAATTTGAAGAATGCCCTTCCTCATTTTGCCGTTTCCTTGAATTTGAAGAACATCCTTCTATATTTGGAATTTTAAGAATGTCCTTCTCGATTTGCAATTTTAGGAACATCCTCCTATATTTGGAATTTTAAGAACGTTCTTCTGTACTCGGAATTTTAAGACCGCCCTTCAGCATTCTGAACTTTAAGACTGCCCTCCTGCATTTTGAATGTTAAGACCCTCCTTTCTTCATTTTGAATTTTAAGACCACCCTCCTGCACTTTGAATTTTAAGACCTTCCTGCTGCATTTTGCTGCTCTCCCATGAGAGCTCATCTCGTGTCCCAACCTTCCCTCTGGCTACAGTAAAATCACTGATTTCAGGAGCTGCAGCTACAGCAGTGCTGTCACCACCCCAGGGGACTCAGGAGCTCAAGGAGAGCTCACACTGCTGGGTGCCTCAGGCTCCTGGGGATGGACCATCAAAGCTGGCACTGGGAGGCACTGGGGGCTCACCCTACCTGTGCTTAGGGGACGCAGACCTCGACGGTGACCTCGAGTAACTCTGATCTCTGCTCCCGCTCCGACTCCTGCTCTCTCTTCCTTTCTGGACCCTGCCACAGACAAGAACACTCAGTTATTTTGTTTTAATCCCTTGTGAGAGAAAAGCTGCTGCTTCCTGGTGAAACCTTACCCATTTACTGGGCTGTTGGAGCTGGTTCTCTTGGCTCCCTCTGCTTTCCTCTTAGCATTCTTCATGGCCTGCACAGGTAGGGGTGAAGGTTTATTTCCTTTAACCTCTTTTGGAGACTCTGCAAGAAGAAACCTTTGTTACCTCTTTGGAAAGTACCTGAGAGGATCTGAGGCTCCCCTCAGCCCAAGTGTGTGCACACACAGATCTGAACAAGTTCACAGCAGGCAGAAATTCATCTGAAACATTTCTGCCAAAGTATTGAAGTGACTGCAACAAAAAAAAGGCAGAAAACCACTCTCCTTTCCTTGCCAATTATTCAGCATTGTTTGAAAGGCAAACTGGGGAAGAAGATGATCAATGCTGTCTTCTAGGTGAGACTGCACCAGACTGGAAACTTTAACCAACAAATTCCTCACCCAACATCCCAAAATGTTACCCCTGCCAGGGCACCTCTGCTTCAATATTCCTTCAGCACAACATGCCAGTGGCAAGGACTTGAGTTTATTACCAAATCCACATAAAAGCAACTCCCTGGCCTATATGGGTTTAAACTAGTCTTCATTTCAGACTAATTTGATTTTAGCTTTTATCTGATTCAAGAAATCCCAAAGTTACAATGCTATGCAAACCCTGCCAGTGGAGTAGTGCTGGAAGCCATCTTCAAAAAATCCCCAACAAACTTAAACCACACTTGCAAATGCTTCCCAAAAGGGTAAATATCCATCAAAGATGTGAAAAAGTTATTTACCATTTTTTGGGATAGGGGAAAATCCCGAAGTGTTATCCAAGCTTGGAACTCCCTCAGGTACCAGACCTTTAGCTTGTGCTTTTGCCTCTTCAATAGCCAACTTCTTCTTTTCTATTTTACTTTCCAGATCAGATAAATCCACCTGTGAACACAGGAGCACTTGTGAGAGCTGAATTTCCTGGTTACCCACTCCCAGGGAGGGGAATGAAAATCCAAGGAGTCCCAGACAGTGACTGCTCTTTGTTCACTTCCAGGCTTGCAGCTGTGGTTTCAAACAGGCTCAAATTTTCCCACTCCTGCTCTGAGCTGCAGCCTTCACTGAGAGCTCCCAACATAAAAAAGAACCAAACCTTTTTCCTTGTGTAGAGCTGCAAGATTTTTAAGCAGATTTCTTGAATTTCTTCCTCAGTTGCTCCGAACAGCAAAAACCAATGTGGGCGATTTGGAAGTGGGATCTGAAAGGGAGACAGAGACAAAGCTCAGATTTCTGCTCCTGTTAACAGGGCTTGAAAAAACCCCAAATCCACGGCATGTGGCTCACCTCCAGTGTCCTGGCTGCCAGGTAAATGCAGGCACAGGCAATGCTTTCTGGCTGGAACCTCACAAAGACATCTGTTCTCAGGCTGTCGTTCATGTAGTTCCTGAAAAACACGAGAGCAGGAGGCTGCAAGGCACTGCAAAGCTCTCTGGGGTTCTTTTCTTGGGTTTTTCACTTGGTCTTACTTCTACAAGGGCTAGTTCTTTCTGCATTCAGTTACTAGACTTCAACATTATATTCCTGTAAATCTAAAGAGAAGCTGAATGATTTTACTCAAAGAAAAATAAAAGAGATAACTAAATTAAATCCCTCAAGGGGAGGGACGTGTGACAGAAACAAAGTCTGACTGCTGCAAATTCAGTGGTGAGAAGAGAACCAATTTTAACTTCACTTTTGCTGCTGGATCTCTACTGGCCTGCTCTCATGCAAGAAACAAGTTCTTTTCATCACGACAACATACAGTGTGCTCAGAAATACTCAGTTATAGAATTTTAGGTTCACATGTCCCCCTGCAATAGGGCAGAACCAGGTGTCTGGCAAAAGCTGCAGCTCCTGGAGCAGCTCTCCCATGAAATGCAGTCCTCTTCAGCTCAGGTCAGCTTCCAGTGGGGTTTAAGGGTCCATTTCCATCCAGAAGAGAATTCTTTTTGATGCAAAAAGTCAGCCATAGGAGAAATCAGGGTGTTTGGGAACATCAGTTCAGGAGAACAGTCAGTATTCAGGCAGATCTCCTCTTTGGCACATGAAATAAGGTTTCCAAATTGTCCCATTTCAGTAAGGTTGCTTAAAATGAATATTCACAGAATGAGAAAACTGTAAAATATTGCACATATTCCAGTCAGTACAATGAAGCATTATGTTGTTAAATCTTAAATACACAAAGTAAATTCCTGTGAATCTGTCAGCTGATGTGCTTTAGAAGATCTAGACTTGAGAGCACATATGTCAATAAAATATCAGATGAGAAAAACTAAAACCAGACATCATAAAAGTCCTTAAAATAATACTTGAAGGTAATAATTAACCACGTGGGTACCCAGTACACAAGGATTCACTGACCCCCAAATATCCAAAGCAGAGACCACAGGCCAGGCACCTGCAGGGCTCACAAGGTCAGAGAGGAGGGATTGGAATCCCAGAAGGACAGAGAGGAGGGACTGGAATTCCAGCAGTTTCCAACTCCCACCTGCCCTCAGCTCCTGTTTACACAAACAGCAACTGCTGCCCCAAAAAAAGCAACATGGACCATCAGCTCATCTTTCTGGGAGAAAGGAACTTCTAAACCTGCTGCTCCAGGAACTTCTAAACCTGCTGTTCCTGTCCCCCTACAGAGAGAGCACAAATCTTTGGCCAAAGGAGTGATAAAGGAAAGGCTGACTTTGAACATCTGGAAGCTACAAAGGTTTTTTTTCCTGATTTGTCAAATTGAGAGCCATGCCAGCTTCCAAGTTTGGCCTCTGCACATCTTCCCTGTGGGCTCAGTGAGGCACAGGAGGAAATGAATCCTTGTCACAATAGCTTAAGAAAAAGGTACTGCTGTAAAAATGCACATTTCAAAAACCAGTCACACTGGATACCCACCAGTTTTTGGGTACTGGAAGCAACAGACACAGCACACAGATGTGTTTTTGTAACCTCTGAGCCCTTTCCCAGCTGGGGTAATTCCCTCCCTGCCCTCCCCTCCTTCCACAACCAGCAGGTTCCTGGCAGTCCAGCACTCCCATTCCACTGCTCCATGCAATGCTCCTGGAAGTGTCTCTAAATATCACATTTTGTCTCCAAGCTTCACACAAGTACTAGTTTTTTCACTTAAACATTTGAGGTAATGGTAGCTTTCAAACTATTCATTTTTTTTTTGTTGTTAATTCATCCCTTTTAAAGATTTAAACCCCACCTTAATTCACTTTATCATATAAGAAACACACCACATTATAACAGTTAAGAGAAATAGAACATTAAAAAAAATAAAATCTCAGAACTTTCAACGCTCAGGTTATCAAATATACAATGAAAAAACACAGAGTAAAAAAAAAATAAAAATATAAGCACAAGAAGCAGTTGGCCAGTTACTCTACTATCATGTATATACCACCTGTCTAGAGCCAGCCTTCTCTTTGGAGAGCTTTGGGTTGACTGAAGACGGCAGCTATCCCTGCACCATGGGCAGCAGAGGAGAAGTCTTAGTCACTTACCCTCAGAGGCTACCCTTTGATCAAAAGAGTACAGAAAAGAAAAGTCAAAACTGGTTCTCTACACACAGCTCACAGTACCAGACAGTTCAGTCAGCAGAAATATGGTCTTTGGATTCACTAAAGGTGGGTTTTGATTTTTTAAATTTTTTTTAGACCATTGGTATTGTTAAAAAAAGCATTGTGGTTTATAAAAAGCATTGTTTGGTAAAGTTTAAGATGTGGAATTTTACAGAAGCTTCCCACCCCCGAGCAAATATTTATTAAATGAGAGCAATAAGGCAGAGAACATTTCTTGGCAAATATGAATCCAGGCTATCCATCTATCCAGTCCTAGAAGCTGACATCTTGCTTTATCCACATAGATAAAAGAAATTTATCTGTGCTGAGGTTTAGATAATCCTGAAACCAAACTCAGGCCCTGGCAACAGACTTGAATTCCACCCAAGTTTTCCTTGAAGAAGACCCCAAGGGAACAACTCTAACCCCCCCCAAACCTTTTTCCTTCAGCTGGAAAGTGAGAGCAGAGAGGAGGGAAGTGAGAAGTCAGGGTGGAAAGCTACCTTACCATTAAAACACTGCCTCGACCTTAAGAGGCCGCTCAACATTGGGGAAGGAGTTTGGGGCACACCAAGGACAGTGGAGCTGTCTGGGGTGGCCCCAAGCACTGCTGAGCAATGCTGCCCAGTGCCTCAAGTGACATATTTCTGCTACTGCCCCTTCTGGTCTCTTAGAACAAAGAAAATCAACTTACCATGAGGTCTGGACCAGGTGTTGGTTACGTTCACATTCTAATACCTGAAGGTACATAACGATTATCTGGAAGATATGGGTCATTGAGTTATTAACCAGCATCTGGAGAGCCACCTGCTTATTTCAGAGGGACATCCATCCATCCATCAGGCACCTGGGATCCTCTTTCAAGGCCTAAAACACTCCACATGAAGTGTTTGCACCATCCCCAGTGTTTATCCACACCAGCTCTGAGCTTCTGTCCTGCTACTCGGCCAGGCCTTGTCTCCACCTGGGCTTCATTTAGGAATTTTTGTGGATGGATTTTGATTGAGGGATTTTTGTGGATGGATTTTGATTCTCCTACAAACCTCACAAATCCTTTTTTAGCTGCAGCCTGGGGAGAAAAAGCTGCTGAGTGCAGTCAGCAGTGAGGGAAGTTGGCAGTGCTTGCAGAGAACAGAGCTAACACTGTGCCATGGTTTGTTCAGCTCTGAGGGTTTTCCTCAGGTTTGGAAAGAAAACAAGGCTGCAGAGGGGAAGAATAATGGCAGAATTCACCCCGTTAACAAACTACAGCTGCTCTCTGGGGTGGGTGACAAAAGGAAATTCTGAAGAAACTCAAAAAGGCAGCTCTGAACAGGAGGTTTTTAGAGCAGAAAACACAAGATCCCAACTTGTGCTGGCACAGAAATACAATTTCTTTTACCAGTCAAAGCACAATTTAAATATTTGAGGTAATTGTATCCTTCAAGCATCATCCACTCTGACATTTGTTACTTTTATATCCAGCCTTGCCTCAGTTCTAGCCAGGCCTGGGAGTGGTTTTAACACACCCCAAACTGGCTCACAGACCTTTAACACCTCAGCAGGAGTGAGCAGGACAACCCCAGGCCTCCAAATTCCTCCCTGCCTGGGGGAATCTAGGTTGAGGTGATGTTTTCTACCACCAAAGCTACCTCCTGATCCAATTTCCTTCCAGGATTACTGAGCACCTGCATCCACCTCGCCGCCACTCAGCAGTGATACGAGACCAATTAGTAAGAGTCTCTTAAATGAGAAAGAAAACATCAGGATGGTAAGAAACTAATCTGAGTTCACTGTGTGCAGTCCAGGCAGCCTCCTCAGAGCTTCACAGAGCATGAAACGTTGGTTATGTACTGAATTTAGGAAGTACAAACCTTATGAGGGTGCTTCACGTGAACACAAAATCCCAACTCCTTCAACACTCTTCTTTCTGCCTTAATTATTTGATTCTTCAAGTTCACATATTCTTGATCCAGTATTAGAGGCACAGGTTTTCTGCAAGACAAGGCCAAACTCACAAGGTCATCTTAACCCTTAAAAAAACTCAGGTTGAGTTGTGTAAAAATAAAAAAAAATAATTAACTAGAACATCAAAAATATTTATTTATTAGAAGAGGTCAGCTCACTTCATGAGATCCCTTCAAAATATTTTCTGAGTTATGAAAAAGGGAATGATGCTGCTGTGGAGTTTAATAATTCCAACACAATACAGATAATCCAGATTATTCTGAATTCTCATTTTAGAGATAATCCAGATTATTCTGAATTCTCAACGAATCCAGATTATTCTGAGTTCTCAGTTTACAGATAATCCAGGTTACTCTGAGTTCTCATTTTACAGCTAATCCAATTATTCTGAATTCTCAGTTTACAGCTAATCCAGATTATTCTGAATTCTAACTTTACAGCTAATCCAAATTATTCTGAGTTCTCATTTCACTGATAATCCAGATTATTCTGAGTTCTCATTTCACTGATAATCCAGGTTACTCTGAGTTCTCATTTCACTGATAATGCAGGTTATTCTGAGTTCTCATTTCACTGATAATCCAGGTTACTCCGAGTTCTCAGCTTACTTTTTCTCCCTCAGGTGTCTGAGGCGATGGAACACATTGATCACGTCCCGAATGCGTCTGGGGGCTTCCTCAATTTTGGATGCCAGGTGGACACAGGCCATGGAAACGTGCTGAAAAATAAGCAGAAAATAGAATATTTTCTATGTTTTGTTTCCAGTTCAGGAACTGAGCCACTACAACAGCTTAAGGATGGATAATGAGGGGGAAAAAATGTGGTGAAACAAGAAAATTCCAAATATTTGACAAAAATCACTGTTAAATGGCTTTGTAAAATCACATTTCTCTACAACTATCAACTCCAGACTAGTTCCCAACACTGATCACACCTCAGATAACAGCTTGCCAAGAGAGATCAGAAGGTAAATATGACAACAAATGTCATTTAATGCCTTCTTACCTCCATGGAATGCTTCACAAAAGACTTGGTATAAAAGAAACGCTGGAATAACACCTGTCCTGTAGCCATAGCCACCTGAAAGAGAGATAATCACAACAGCCATGAACAAAACTACCAACTGCAAAGAGAATTTTTAACAGATTTAAGACCTAGAGTAACTTAACATAGGAGAAATTTCAATGGTATTTAAAGAAAGCTAGAATTCTGAAGTAATTCAATAGCCTAAAATGTTATCAACACTTTAAATATTGCCTATAAGTCAAATACAGACAGCAAATCCCAATTTTCTTTCATAAAAAATGTGAAAATGTGCTCTAAGTCATCAAATTAATAATAAAAAAATCAAGAGAAATCTAAAAAGCCAAAAAAAAATCAAACTTATGAAAGTACGTCAGAAAAATATTTGCTTTTTGGGCGTGGAAAGTGAGGAGCAATCTAACCGCGTCGTGATTTGCATACATTTGCATATGCTAAGCCTCGCTAGCTGGAGGCTGGTGAAAAGTTTTACGCTCAGAGAGCAACGAGGCTCTTGGGCCTTAAATTCCCCGTGGAAACCGAAACCGTCCCAGGGCTCTAAAAGAACCTGAAGAAAATCCGCCTTTGCACAGCCCTCGCACGGGGGCGGCGCAGGAAGGCGCTGACATCACCGGCTCCCTGCGGCCGGGCACGGCCGGAGCGGCCCCGGAGCGGCCCCGGAGCGGCCCCGGAGCGGCCCCGGAGCGGCCCCGCGGCCTGCCCGGCCGGTAACCGCGCCAACCGGGACACCGAGTCCCGCACAAAGCAGGGCCCAGCCGAGCCCCCGCTCGCTCCCCGCCCCGCCCAGCCCCACCTGCGGCAGCCGCAGCAGGATCCCGGCCGCCTGGATGAGCTCGCAGCCGGTAACGCGCAGCTCGGTCTCGGTGTCAGGGTCCAGGCCGCTGCTCATGGACGGCGTGAAGCGCAGCGTGTGCTCGGGCAGCAGGCAGTTCTCCAGCGTGATCAGCACGCCCGAGTACAGCCGGTCGCCGATGAGCACCGCGCCGGGAGCCGGTGCCGGGGCGGGGGCCGCGCCGGCCGCCTGAGGGCCCGCGGGGCCGCCGCCTGCCGCTGCCGCCGCCATTTTGTGCCGCCGCCGCCTCGCTGGCTCCGCGCTCCTTCTCCTTCCCCACCAGCATCCGCCCGGCGCCGATTGGCGGAGCGCGGCGGGGCCGCGGCCGCTGATTGGCTGAGGGGCCGTGACGTAGGACGCCGCCCGGGCCGCGCGCGGCGCGGTGACGCAGCGGCCGGGAATTCGGATAGGGCGGGGCCGCGGCGCCCTCAGAGCCGGGGGCGCCCCGGGACGGGCGTGAGGCGGCTGGGGCACGGCGGTCACCGAGTTAAACATCTTTAACTCCGTAAATAAACAGACTGTACGCTCACTGAGTTAAATATCTTCGTTAACTCCGTAAATAAACAGACTATACGCTCACTGAGTTAAATATCTTTGTTATCTCCGTAAAAAAAAAAACAGACTATGCGCTCACCGAGTTAAATATCTTCGTTAACTCCCAAAAAATCCAGACCACGCGCTCACCGAGTTAAATATCTTCGTTAACTCCCAAAAAATCCAGACCATGCGCTCACCGAGTTAAATATCTTTGTTATCTCCGTAAAAAAAAGCACACCATGCGCTCACCGAGTTAAATATCTTTGTTATCTCCGTAAAAAAAAGCACACCATGCGCTCACCGAGTTAAATATCTTTGTTATCTCCGTTAAAAAAAGCACACCATGCGCTCACCGAGTTAAATATCTTTGTGAACTTTCTAAAAGACCGCGCTACGCGTGTCCTTAGCGTGAGGCCCGCCGAGGTTCGCGTGTGAGGGCCGAGGTGCTGCTCCCCACCCCGGTTGGGTTTTCCCCGTGCAGCGCTGGAATTTCGCCACACAAATTGTTTCCCTGCAGCGGATATCAACAAAAAGATGTTTATTATTAAGTCCTTAACAGAACAGGCCATGTTTGTCCTTCACCTACAGGCTCGTGTCTGAGGGCTGGCATCTCCCTCACACTCTGGGCTGGTTTTTTGCTGTGTAGTGCCAGAACTCACCACAAAAATTGTTTCTCCCCAGCAATTACCAAAAAAATCACCTTTTTTAAGTTCTTATGTACATCCTTAACACAGAGATGTGTGTGAGGGTGGACATCCTGCCCTCCCTCCATCCCCCGGCTGTGTTTTCCCAATGACGTGCCAGAATTAACACAAATTGTTTCCCCATAGCAGTTTTCAATAAAAATGTCTTTATTAAATCTTTAACAATACAAACTATGTGTATCCTTAACTCCCAGGCTCCACTTGTGAGGGTCAACATTTCCCCCCATCCCAGCTGCGTTCTCCCTGTTCAGAATTCACCACACAAATTAGCTTTTTTCCTAGTAGCAGTTACCAAAAAAAAAAACCAAAACAACCCTTTACAAGTCACTGTATGGCCTGACTACTAACTTTGAAGTGTGCTTTTAATTTAACAGGTTTCAACAACAACAACAACACAGGGAAAGTGCCATGAAGGAGCAGCTTCACACCCACACGATCCTCAGAGGATTTCTTCCACATTTTCCATTTCAGCAGCAGGTTTGCTTCACAATCAAATCCCTGCTTCTAAAACATACACCCAGGCTCTGGTATCAGTAGTGGTGGTGCACAATACGTGAAAATATCCCCTCTGGTTCTTTTCCATCTCCCAGGGCAGCCAGGAACCCTTCCTGTCTCCTCCTCTGGGCTAAAGCTGCCAGGGACTTGAATGTCTTTGGTTCATAAATAGCCAAGTCAGCCAGAACTTTCCTGTTCAGCTCCACCTGGGACTAAAGGCAAGAAAAAATCTTGGTTAAGGACTGTGATTTTTAGGAACAACACTGCAGTGCTTAGTTTTAAATATATTTTATTTAAATAGGTTTTATTAAATATAGTAAATTTTTATTATTAAATACAATTAAATGTATTAAATATAATGAACACTCTTTACTGTTTATATAAACACCCTTCATTAAGTATGATTAAACACTCTTAAGGCTTAAGACTTGAGGTCTTTAAGCAGATTAACTTTTTTCTGCCCTGTGCAATTTGGAGCTGTTAAAGACTCTCAGACACTCCCTGACTAGGGATGTCTCATTAACCCACCACGTAAAAATTATTTCCTGACTTTCTCTAAAGTTTTTGTGGTAGAAACCAAGAACTGAAGAAAAATCTCTAATTTTGCCTCAAGGCACGTGTTCCAGGTTAAGACATGACATCTGTTTCAGCTCAAATTAAAACAGAATCACCAAACTGAAACAAATTCCCAGCATGTTTTAAAAACAAGGGACAATGGCACCAAGTTTCTGCATTCTTCACGCTCACCAAATCACAAATTTAGTGAAAAGAATAAGGATTTCTTAAGGTTTTGGGTTTTTTGCTAACCCAAGCTTTGTATTTTTAAATTTCTTGAAGTAAAAGGAAAAACAGCTGCAATTGAATGCCCACATAAAAGCATTTTAAAAGTCTCATTTCTAAGTTTTGGGGACAGAACATGAGGTAGAGCCACAATGTTCACCAGGATAAAATGGAATAATCGATATAGGGAAGAGAAATAGTTTAGGGCAGAACTTAGTTCCTGAAGTGGATGAAAGGCTTTCATGCCTTTCATCACTCTAATTAGTAAGTAATTATCCTCCAAACCACATCCTTACCTTGGCCAGGTTGCTTATGAAGGCTGGGTACTTCAAACCATGTTCAAGGGAAGCTGCTTCAATCCTTGTGATCCAGAGCTGAGGGTGTAAAAATCAATATATTGCATGATCAAACACTTTAAAATAAACCCTTTGCCACATTGGTCTGCTTATTAAAAACAACATTTTCATGGAATATCCTGAGCTGGAAGGGACCCACAAAAAAATGCTGCTTTAAACTCCAACTTTTCATCCACTGCTTTTAAAACCCCCCAGAGTAAGAAAAGCAGCTGTTTCACTCCTGCCTTGCTCCCATTTTGATGTTTCCAGCCAACATTTTGCTCTTTACCGCTCTGAGGAATCTCTTCTTCTCCCTCCTGGCCTTGGTGGACTTCACAAAAGCCCTGCGGACACTCCTCACTGCCAGCTTGTAGCAGCGGTTCTTCCTGCCACGAAAATGCTGCAAAAAAACCCCAGAATGGTCTTATTCAATCAGATTTAAAGATATAACACTAATAAAGCTCATTTGCACTCACAGCTCTCCATAATAAGGATCACTGAACCCTTCACAAGCACGCCCTAAGCCTTCAGCTGGCACATCATGAAAATATTCTTCCCTTGTGGAAATACATGGAATATCACGGGGGATATAATATCAAGGAAATGTAATTTTTATCATGAAAAACATGAAGCTGAGGAGTTGGAGCAGGGTGGAAAAATCTCAGTTGAGCGGAGGCAAAACCAGGCCTCACTTTGTGCCGTGGTTCACAAAATCACGGGCAGTGCTTTCACCCAACACTGAATTCACATTTATTCTCATTCCTGAGCTCCCCTCTGTTGTGTCTGTATGAACACAGGGATGGGGCACGAGCCTCTGATTTATCAAACAAAAACCAAAAAAATTAAATTTGTTCTCTGACATCCATCTAATGCAACACAGGAAAATGTAGCCAGTGCTGCACCAGGAATAACTGGTGCAAAACCAAAATATTTTCACTTCCTTCAACTTTTTCTACCTCAGCATTACAGCAAGATGTAATTTGAAGAATTTTAATGTACTGCCTAGGATGCCCTTGAGAAAGGTTCATCCCTGGCCTCAGCACAGCAGTTTAAAATCCAGCAGAAATCCGAAACGCAAAACAATTCAAAATGCACTTGAGAACAAGGTTAGATTTTTTTCCCCCATTTTTTTTTTTTGCCCAGTAAAAAACACTCAAGAAGGAAACACAGTGCAGGGACGCTGTATTTAATGAAACACAGACCACTTTACAGCACGAGGAAAGCACAGAATGGTTCGGGTAGAAAAGGGAGCTCCGAGCCCACGCAGTGCCGGGACCCCTCGCTGCTCCAAGAGCCTGGGGCTCTGCAGGGACGGGGCATTCCCGGCTTGGGGAGCCTGCCCGGGGCACAGGGGCACAGGGACACGGCGGGGACCCCGCACTCACCCGCGCGTACTTGAGCACCTCCTGCACCCTCCAGAAGCGATCCGTGAGGCGGCTGCGCAGCCAGCGCGCCGCGCTCAGCACCACCATGGCTGCGGCACGGCTCCTGCCTTCCTCCCTGCCTGCCTGCCCGCCTCCCTGCCTGCCTTCCTTCCGGGGCGGCACCCGAGCCTGCCCGGCCTTCCCCGAGCCTTGCCTCGCTGCTTCCTCTGAGCCTGCCTCTTAGCCCGCCCGGCCTTCCCTCAGCCCGCCCCGGCTTCCCTCAGCCTGCCTCTTAGCCCGCCCCGGCTTCCCTCAGCCTGCCCCCGCTGCTTCCTCTGAGCCTGCCCCGAGCCCGCCCGGCCTTCCCTCAGCCTGCCCCTAGCCCGCCCCGGCTTCTCTTAGCCTGCCCCGGCTTCCCTCAGCCTGCCCCTTGCCTGCCCCGGCTTCCCTCAGCTTGCCCCTAGCCCGCCCCGGCTTCCTTCAGCCTGCCCCGGCTTCCCTGAACTTGCCCCGAGCCTGCCGGGGTTTCCTCTGAGCCTGCCCCGAGCAAACCCCGAGGCTGCCCGGCCTTCCCTCAGCCTGCCCCGAGCCTGCCCCAGCTTCCCTCAGCCTGCCCCCGCTTCGTCCTCTGAGCCTGTTCCCGAGCCTGCCCCGGCTTCCTCTGAGCCTGCTCCCGCTGTTTTTCCTCTGATCCTGCCCCCGAGCCTTCCCGGTGCTTCCTCTGATCCTTCCCGGTCCTTCCCCCGGTCGTTCTCCCGGTTCTTCCTCGGCTCCTTCATCTGGTTTTTCCCCTGATCCTTCCCCGAGCCTTCCCGGTCCTTCCTCTAGTCCTTCCCCCGGTCTTTCTTCTAGCCTTTTCCCCGGTTCTTCCCCCAGCCCTTCCCCCGGTTCTTCCCCCGGTCCATGCCCCGAGCCTTCCCGCTCCTTGCTCCGGTCCTTGCCCAGATCCTTCCCAGTCGTTCTTCCAGCCCTTCCTTCAGTTCTTCCCCCTTCTCCCGATCTTCCCTCCCCTTGCCCTTCCTCCAGTCCTTCCCCTGTCCCCAAGCCTTTTCCCAGCCCCTTTCCTGGTCCTTCCCCAGCCTTTTCACCTCCCCCGGCTCCTCTCTCACAGCACAGTGGCTTTTCACCGTGCTGGGCATCCTCTGCCCCAGCCCGAGGACAGCCGTGGAATCACGGAATATTCTGAGTTGGAATCCACAGGGATCATCCAGCCCAGCCCCTGGCTCTGCAGAGACACCCCAAAATCCCACCCTCTGCATCCCTGGGAGTGTTGTCCAAACACTCTTGGGGCTGTGCCCATTCCCTGGGGAGCCTGGTCAGTGCCCCAGCACCTTCTGGGGGAAAAACCTTTCCCAAAATCTGACCTAAATCTCCCCTGACACAGCTCCAGCCATTCCCTCAGGTCACCAGAAACCTTCACCCTCTGGCTGAAGAGCCTTACCCTGATCCCAGCCCTCTGATGTGACCACAACGCCCTCGTCACCTGCCCGAGGTGTGACCCAAAGCAGCCCAAACCCCCAGCTCAGCTGGGAGCAGGCACACACCGTGTGGTTGTACCAAAATTCCCTGGAAAAAGGAGCTGGGCTGCTTGGAATGCGCATTCCCATGGCTCAGTGAGGGATTTGGGATTTTGTATCCCCAGCAGTGCTCCAGTGTGAGCAGGTTTGGTGTTGGAAGGATTCCATAGTGGATAACAAGCCTTAGAGCATCCTGCAAGGGTTAGGGTTAGAGAATGGGAGACATAAATTGAAAATTTATGAGCTGTGCAAACCACAAGATGGTGCTGCCAGAAAATGATTCCATGGGAGCAGCAGTCCTCGGCGTCAGAGAAATGATGGATTTTTCTGAGGCTCTTTACTCATCACCACTTCCAGCATCTCAAAGCAATCATGCTGCTGTTATAAACTGCTCCATCATCAAGATCTTCCCCACTTCTGGGAAAGTTCTTGTCCAGAATGTGGAAATTTCAGAGAATTGTGGAGAAATCTTTCTTCATATCACTGAGGCTTGTCTGACACAAAGTTCGCTTGGTTAGTACGAGAACCAGTAGAAAAGAAATGTACAGAACTCAATTTTCAGACCTCCCTGAAAAGGTTAAAATGCATTTTCACGACAGCAAAAGAACTTTGGAAAGTTTCCCTGGATTTCGCAAAGCTTCTTAGAATTTATGGCACTTCTATGAATGCTCAGATTGTGTTTCACCACACCCTGTGCCATCACCAGCAGATGGTAAAAGCAGCTGTAGGATTTTTAGCTGCCCAGCACTGAGTTCATCTCTCCATGATTTAAGCCTAAAATTGATTTCTCCTCCTATAGATTTGGGTCTGGGTTCTTTCTCTTTGTGTGACTCGTCCTTTTTTCCACTTCAAAGGCATAAATCAAGTTTGAAAAATATTATGTCTTTAAATCTAAGCAGAATTTAGACAGGCAGAGCAACCACGGAGACTCCCAGAGCTCCCTGCCACTTGTCACATTTATGGTTTCCTGCACAGCTCCAGATTTTATTACTAACGCTGTCTCTGGCCTGTGCAGCCCTGAAAAACAGGATGGATCCAGTAGTTATTTCCTCTGGGATGTCTGGACAGATCTGAGAAGAGATTTCACATTTTGCAGCTCGAGTGGAGGCTGCTGCCCTGCAAAGCCCCCGGGAGCCATCCAGCCCTGGAGTGCAGGGAAGGAACGGGGTGGAAATGGACTTGTCACACTCTGCTGTCTGCTTTGGAGGTTGTTTCTCTGTATTTTTTAATATCTCTCTCTTATTACTGCCACTGTATCTTGGAGGCTACACAGGTGTGGAGATGGCGCTGAAATCCTTAAATAATATTGATCTTGTGAGGGAGATGAAATAATTGATAATTGCTGTGCCTCCTCTACGAGAGTATCAATATGTTCTGCAAGCAATAACAGATGACTGCAGGGGACAGCTGATTTCTGAGGAATAAAGTGATTATTATCAATTTCTCTAAGATTTTTTTTTTTTTTAATCTAGAGAGGAATTTTAGAAAATGAATCCGAGGCAGAATAATTAAAGTTGGAGAGGCACCATCCTGACCCGGGGATGGATGGTTGGAGCGTGTTAAATCCCATCAGTGGGGAGACAGACGTGAAGGATTGGCCAGCACAGAGAGCACTGAGGCTGCTCTGTAAACACAGCAGCCTTGCAAAGCTGAGCTCAGAAGGGAGCACGCTGCTGGGGGTGAGTGGCTGTGGCTGCAGGCAGCTGGGAGCAGTGACACCACCACACACTGCGGAACAGCTCCTGCCCTTCGTCTTCATCATCACTGCTCCCCTCCTTGGCACGAGGCTTGGGCAGGAATATCTGCTTGGGTGCAGGGTGAAGAGCATGGAGAGGTGATTTGAAGAGAAGGAACTGCCTGTGGGTGCCTAAACCCGACATTCTGAACACCTAAACCTGATATTCGGAGCGCCTAAGCTGGATCTGCTGAGCACCTAAGCCTGATCTGAACATCTAAGCCTGATATTCTGAACACCTGAGGCTGAAATCCTGAACCTAAGCCTGACATCCTGAACATCTAAGCCTGATCTGCTGAGCACCTGAGGCTGAAATCCTGAACCTGAGCCTGCCATCCTGAATATCTAAGCCTGATATTCTGAGCACCTGAGGCTGAAATCCTGAACCTGAGCCTGCCATCCTGAATATCTAAGCCTGATATTCTGAACATCTGAGCCTGCCATCCTGAACATCTAAGCCTGATATTCTGAGCACCTGAGGCTGAAATCCTGAACCTAAAGCTGCCATCCTGAACATCTAAGCCTGATATTCTGAACACCTGAGCCTGAAATCCTGAACCTGAGCCTGCCATCCTGAACACCCAGCTGAGCTGGAAGGTGGAGGGGGATACCAGAGCCCACTGAGCAGCTACCACAGGAACCCTTTGGGACTTCTTGGGATTGTAATCCTGGGAAAAACTACAGCAAATTCAGTAGGATTCTGGATTCTAAACCAAAATAAAAGCTACTGCCTACCTTCCAGCAGATCTGCACTGGGACTGAGGCTGGGCAAAGCATCTGAAGAAGCAAACTGTGCTGAGGAGGGACCCAAGGAGACCTTTCCCTGCTTGCTCCACCATGATCTCTGCTTGAGGGCTCCTGGCCACGTGTGGAGGAGGCAGAAGAAGCCTTTGCAAGCTCTGTTAGACCAAAAGCGAAGAAATATTTTTGGATAAGAGCGTGGGTTGGTGGACCTTCTTGAAGGATGTCTGGCCAGGACCCTGAGGACTTTGGAGCAGAAATCCTGTCGGAAAAATCCCGGATGATGCCCGGGCTGCCCCCGTATGACATGGATGAGCAGCTCCTGCCCAGGGAGCCCCGCAGCCCCTGGTGCTGCCTGGCCTGGACCCTGGTGATAGGAACCATGAACTCCCTGGTGTTCCTCCTGAATTTGCTGCTGATGTTTGTCATTTTCACCGTCGTGCTGCTCCCTACCATCGTGGTGGTTTACTTTGGCTTCCAGTGCCACTCCCAGGTAAGTGCCACTCCTCAAGGGCAGGGCCACACCTGAGGGCTCCTTTGAGAACCCCAGGTGAGCAGTGCCTGTCCAGGCCAGGCAAAACTCCCCAAGTTTTGGCTTTGGGCACAGATTTTTTTTCCCTGTGTGAATAGCCTGGGCTGACAAGGACAGGTCTTGTGGGAAATTGGGCAATGGAGTTGTATCCCCATGGAAGTGCCAAGCAGAGGTGCCAGCTGAGGTGAACACACTCCCTGCCCCCATGGAATTGCTGTTTGCACTTTAATTTCACAATTATTTCTCTCTTCCCTGGGATTTCTCTCACTGAGAGCTGCCAGCCTGGGCTCCAGAGCTCACAGCCCTGCCTGGGCTCTGGTAGGGTTTGCTCCTTTCTGTTTAAGATTCATTAGGACCTGCCTAATGATTAGTAAAATCTGACCGAATATCCATGCCAATCTACCACTCCTGCTCCCAAACATCCTGTGCATTCCTCACACCAAAAATGAGCCTCCTTTGTCCATCCAGGCTCTGTGTGCTGCCCTCTGCATTGCATCATTTCCTTATTTACAAATCCCTTCTTGGTATATTCCTTTAAACATTTTGGGGATCACTTCACCAAGGGTGGATGTGCAAAAGCAGTTCCTTGTTTTCCTCACAGCTCAGTGTGCCTTTTTCATAAACAGGGCCTGCAAATTGGACTGAAAATGGGAAAAAACCTCCCAGAACTGCCCCTTCCAGCTCCCCTCACCTTGGAAAACCTCAAGTTCTCCTTTGCACACACACACAAAGGCTTTGAGGAGATGCAGAATGTTTTTGAGTGCAGCCAAATGGACCTGAAGTGAAAACCCCTGAGCTGCTGGAAGCTGTGAGGGGTTTTTTAAACTCAATCTTTCCTTTAATGCAATCACAGCAAAGGATTGTGGCTTCACCAGAGCACTCCCTGTTTTTGGGCCACGAATTTCAGAGCCTCCCCAGCAGCCAGGGGCTGATTTCTGCCCTGCAGCTCCATTAGATGGATTTATTGTTGGGTTTTAGCATGATGGCTTGTGCTGAAAGGAGAAAAGAATCAAGTCTGGGGACACAGAGGCTGCCTGCAGCATTTGGAGTGCAGAGCAAGCTCAGCTCTGCTGCCAGCACGGAAGGAGGGCTGTGAACACCACTGGGGCAGGCCCAGGGAGGTTTGCTTTCAAGCTCAACCCTGGCAGCCAGTGCCACATGCAGGCTTTGTTAAACACCCCCAGGGATGGGGACTGCAGCACCTCCCTGGGCAGCCATGCCAGAACTTTATCACCTTTCTGTGAAAAACTTCTTCCTAATATCCAACCTGTATTTTCCTTGGTGGAATTTAGGGCTGTGTCTTCTGATTCTGTCAGTTCCTGGAGGAAGAGCCCAACTCCACCTGAGCACAGGCACCTTTCAGGAGTTGTAGAGGGTGATAAGGTCGCTTTATCACCTTTTCTGTAAAAAAAACTTTATCAGCATTCTGTAAAAAACTTCTTCCTAATATCCAACCTGTATTTTCCTTGGTGGAATTTAGGGCTGTGTGCTCTGGTTCTGTCAGTTCCTGGAGGAAGAGCCCAACTCCACCTGAGCACAGGCACCTTTCAGGGAGTGTAGAGAGTGATAAGGTCACTTTATCACCTTTTCTCTACAAAACTTTTTCACCCTTTGTATAAAAAACTTTCCCCTAATATCCAACCTGTATTTTCCTTGGTGGAACTTAGGGCTGTGTCTTCTGATTCTGTCAGTTCCTGGAGGAAGAGCCCAACTCCACCTGAGCACAGGCACCTTTCAGGAGTTGTAGAGGGTGATAAGGTCACTTTATCACCTTTTCTGTAAAAAAAAATTTATCACCTGTCTGTAAAAAACTTCCTAATATCCAACCTGTATTTCTCGTGGTGGAACTTAGGGCTGTGTGCTCTGGTTCTGTCAGTTCCTGGAGGAAGAGCCCAACCCTACCTGAGCACAGGCACCTTTCAGGGAGTGCCGAGAGTGATAAGGTCACTTTATCACCTTTTCTCTACAAAACTTTTTCACCCTTTGTATAAAAAACTTTCCCCTAATATCCAACCTGTATTTTCCTTGGTGGAACTTAGGGCTGTGTCTTCTGATTCTGTCAGTTCCTGGAGGAAGAGCCCAACTCCACCTGAGCACAGGCACCTTTCAGGAGTTGTAGAGGGTGATAAGGTCACTTTATCACCTTTTCTGTAAAAAAAAATTTATCACCTGTCTGTAAAAAACTTCCTAATATCCAACCTGTATTTCTCGTGGTGGAACTTAGGGCTGTGTGCTCTGGTTCTGTCAGTTCCTGGAGGAAGAGCCCAACCCTACCTGAGCACAGGCACCTTTCAGGGAGTGCCAAGGTCACTTATTTTTGGAGCTCTTTTCCAGTTTGACGAGCCTGGCTGTGCCTCTCTCTCCCCGCAGGTGCTGCACTCCTCTGCCCGCTACTGCAAGAGCATCCTGGACGACAACAGCTCCTCTGCCCTCATCATCCTGGGCTTTGTCATCATGTCCCCGCTGCTGGTGGTGGCCATGGCGCTGTACTGCAGCCTGGCGCGGCGCCTGCAGCTCCTGGTGTGCTTCCAGCCCTACAGCCTGGCCCTCTACAAGGGGGGCCGCTGCTGCTGCCCTGCGCGGGGGGCTCCGTGCTGTGCCAGGGGCCGCGGCGGCCAGCTCAGGGCCTGGGTGTGACCCTGCAGGGCCAGCAGTGTCCCCTGCCCGTGCCTCGTGCTTCATCCTCATCCTCAGCCCTGCCCGTGCCTCATCCTCATCCTCAGCCCAGCCTGGGAGCTGCCTCTGCTCAGCCAGGTCACCCTGTGCTTTATCCCCAAAAGTTCCAGGGCAGCTTCATCCTTCCAAATCAAGGAAACCACCCTCTTGTTTATCCCAAAAATTGCAGGGCAGCTTCATCCTTCCAAACTCCCTGGTGTTGTTTTTGGTGTTGTTTGTTGCTGTTCCTGCTCATCACTGTCTGCTGTCCCCTTTGTCCCCTTCAGAGCCATGCCCAGTTTTCTGTAGAAATAAAGTTTGTGCCCAGCCCCCCTGGAGGAGTTTGTTGTGTCTCAAAGCCTGCCTGCAGCAGAACCAGCTCTTGTTCTCCACTTGGTAGCACTGTGAGATAAAATGGAATCTTTGTTCTCTTTCTGAGGATTTTTAATTTTTTTTTTTAATTTTAAATCAATTTTCTGTTTGATTTTTTCCTGCTCTTTGCTCTGATACCACCCAGAGGAATAACCAGGGGTGGGTACAGGGGGGAAGTGAACTGGAGGGGGAAAAAAAAAAAAGGAGGAAAACGAGATGACATTTTCTGACAAGACTGAAGAAAAACAAGAAAGTTCTGTTCCAGGCAAGGAGATCCTGCTAGAGGATAACAAGGTTTTGCCTGAGGGCAGTGTCTGCTCACTGGGTACAGATATTTGATAGGAGCTGCTGCTCCTTTTGCTCACCTGTTGTTCAATCCAACTGCTTTTGAAAGGAAAACATCCTTCAGCCTGGCAGCTATTGCAATGAACCCTGCAAAGAAACCCAGAGTTATTTGCTACAGCCTCCCCAGTAAAGAAAAATTGTATTATTTCAGTTGGTGTTTTACCTCTCAGAGCGTTTTAATACCAAAGGGGAAATGAATTTGCCTGCAGCAGGGCAGAGAGGCCAGGCTGGAGCTCAGGGTGTCCTGGCGAAGCACTCCCAGCACTGCTGGGGCTCTGAGGTGGAGCTGCTTTGATCCTCAATTTCCTGGAGAGATATTTGGGATAAATAGAAGTAGAACAGAGCCATCTCCCGAGCCTTGGATCAGCTGCTGTGCCAGCCTGCAGGGTCAGTGTGCCAGGCAGGGATCCCTGCTCTGCCTCCTCTCCACTCCCCCAGGCACAGCTTTGTCCTGGCAGCTCCCAAACCAGCCCCGAGCACTGCAGGGAGGCAGAAAAAATTTTATTTTTTATTTTATTTTCTGTTTTCTTTTTTTTTTTTAAGTTCAACTACGCGTGGATTTAATTCCCCTGCAAGATCTCCGTGCTCAGAGGCCCCTCAGGAGGCACAAACCCACATTTCCTTTGGTCAGCTCCGTGTTTATTTTTTGTGCTTGCCTGTCCCTGGCTGGCCCAGGTGAAGCACAGCAAGACGTCTCAGCGCTTATCAGCTCTTGGAGCCCTCAGCTGGGGGTGCTGCAAACACAAACCATCTGTCAGGCTGAGCTGGGATCAGGAAGATCATCTTCCAGAGCCAAGGACAACAGAGAATTTATTGGAAGGATGCTCTGAGGGAGGCCAGGGAAGGAAGCTGGACCCTGCTGCACATACCAGGAGAGGATCTGCTGCTCCCCAGCTCGTCCCGGGGTGCTCCAAGTGCTTCATTTTCTGTGCAAAACTCTCCAGCTGATTTGGCAGGATGTGCATGGCAATATAACATGGTAATAAACCCTCGCTGACATGTTCTGGACAGTTCTTTGGGCTCTCTCTTGTTTCACTGAAATTTGAGTGTTTTCAGGGAAGTTTTCCCTGTTCTCCCTCCCCTCTCTGACTGGGCACTGGTGATTGTTTCCAGCTCTGCTGCTTAGGATGGATGGAAATGATTAAAGAAGAGACTTTTTAAGCAAAAAAAAAAAGGAGACTTTTTAAATGATTAAGGAAAAATAATCTGGGAGTGCCTGCAAGGGCCCTTTCCCTCAGCTGATCCTGCAGAGTGGGGCACACACTGCCCTGGGAATGCTGCCCTGTCACCTCCAGGAGGGGATTTCCTTGTGGAAACCCTGTGGGGTTTGTGGTGGGGTAGGGATGGGCTTTATGTGTGATTTTTGTGTGATTTATGTGTGATTTGTGTGTGATTTATCTATGACTTTTTAGTGATTTATCTGTGATTTATGTGTGATTTATCTGTGATTTATGTGTGTTTATTTATTTTTGATTTATATGTGATTTATGAGTGATTTGTATATGATTTATGTGTGGTTTATGTGTGATTTTTGTGTGATTTGTGTGTGATTTATGTGCGATTTATGTGTGACTTGTATGTGATTTATCCGATATATCTGTAGTTATTTATTTATTTTTTATTTATATGTGATTTATGAGTGATTTATATGTGATTTATGAGTGATTTATATGTGATTTATGTGTGATTTACACGTGGTTTATGTGTGATTTGTATGTGATTTATGTGTGATTTTTGTGTGATTTATGCGAGGTTTGTGTATGGTTTGTGTGCGATTTATGTGTGACTAGTGTGTGATTTATCTGTGATTTATGTGTGGGTTTTAATTTATTTTTGATTTATATGTGATTTATGAGTGATTTGTATGTGATTTATGTGTGATTTACAGGTGGTTCATGTGTGATTTGTGTGTGATTTATTTTTGATTTATGTGTGATTTGTGTGCGATTTATCTATGACTTTTTAGTGATTTATCTGTGATTTATGTGTGATTTATCTGTGATTTATGCTCCACTCTGCTGATACCCAGGCAGGATTTTCCTGCAGATTCATTCCCTGTTATTGTCCCATCCCAAATCCTGGCTCCACGAGGCAGCTCCAGAACTTGTTGAACTGGTGGGAAAAAAGAAGAATTGGTGAAGAATCAATGAAGATTTGGTGAAGATTTGGTGAAGATTTGGTGAAGATTTGGTGAAGATTTGGTGAAGATTTGGTGAAGGATCGGTGAAGGATCGGTGAAGGATCGGTGAAGAATCGGTGAAGAATCAGTGAAAAATTGATGAAAAATTGATGAAGAATTGGTGAAGGATCGGTGAAGAATTGGTGAAGAATTGATGAAGAATCGGTGAAGAATCAGTGAAGAATCAGTGAAGAATTGGTGAAGAATTGGTGAAGGATCAGTGAAGAATTGGTGAAGAATTGGTGAAGAATTTATGAAGACTCGGTGAAGAATTGGTGAAGAATTTATGAAGAATTGGTGAAGAATCAGTGAAGAATTGGTGAAGAATTGATGAAGAATTGGTGAAGAATCAGTGAAGAATTGGTGCCTGGAAGGAGGAGCTGTCTCAGACCCTGAGCCCCCTCTGAAGGCTCACCCTGTGTGCAAACCTTGAGATCAAAAATGCTGATTTAGAAATGCCTGGGATGGGAGAGACACTGCTGAGGGAGAAATGGAATTAGGAACATTTTGTCAATAAGACTGGATTCTTTGGACAAACAGAACTAGGAAAGATGCATTGTAGCAGGACCCACGAGGGGTTGTTATTTTAATTTTAGATGGATTTAATTTTAGATGATTGGCTTTAAGGCATTTACAGCATGGTGTGGGAGAGCTCCTATTTCTTCCTGGAGCCAGCTCCCCTCTCTCCCACTCTGAGCTCTCAGTCCTGGCTGGGATTGTGTCACTTTTGGGCACAGATGTTGTGACAAAGAGCACTTTTCTGCCAGGCACCAGCTGCCCTTCACCTGCTGCTGGACACATTTCATCTGCTCTGGAGCCTGGCCCAGCCTGAGCACAAAAATCCCCTTTGCTTGGGATATTCCTTCTAGCTCAGCTGAGACCAGACACTCAGAAATTCAGAGAAAAATAAAACACAGAAAGGAAATCAGTCAGTGTTTCAGAGCAGAGAAAAATCCCCTTTGCTTGGGATATTCCTTCTAGCTCAGCTAGAAATCCAGACACAGAAATCCAGGGAAAATAAAGCACAGAGAGGAAATCAGGCAGTGCTTCCAAGCAGAGAAAAATCCCCTTTGCTTGGGATATTCCTTCTAGCTCAGCTAGAAATCCAGACACTCAGAAATTCATGGAAAATAAAGCACAGAGAGGAAATCAGGCAGTGCTTCAGTTGATCACCCACAGGGAATTTTAATTCAGGTTGGAGGGAAAGGTTCCTTCAGCCTCCTGATTTCCTGCTTGTTCATGAGCCCGTTCTCCATACCCCACAGGCAGAAATATCCCCAAATACAGAAATATCTCCATATCCCACAGAAACAGAGGGAGAAGGGAGAAGGGAAAAAAACCCTTTTGCAATGAAAGATGATTCTGTCTTAAAGAATTCAACTGGAGCTCATTCAGGGTGTGAATAACTCATTTTTCTGCTTTGTTCTCACACCCGGGTGTGGCTCTGCCTACCTGGGCCAGACCATTCCTGGCAGCTCCTGGAAAATCAGCGTTCCTGGGGCTTGCAGGAGCTCACTCAGCGTGGCTTCCTGCACGGAGGGCCCTTTGTTCACGGGGGTTTCTGCTCATTGCACTTCTTGCTGCTCCTGCAAGAAGGATTTTAGCCACAACATGATTTTAGCCACACATGATTTTAGCCACACATGATTTTAGCCACACATGATTTTAGCACACCATGATTTTAGTCACACACTGATTTTAGCCACACCAGGATTTTGGCCACACATTATTTTATCCACACCAGGATTTTATCATACCATTATTTTAGCACACCATGATTTTATCCACACATGATTTTATACACACATGATTTTATACACACATGATTTTAGCCACAACATGATTTTAGCCACACCAGGATTTTATCCACACATGATTTTATCCACACATGATTTTAGCCACAACATGATTTTAGCCACACCAGGATTTTGGCCACACATAATTTTAGCCACACATTATTTTAGCCACACCAGGATTTTAGCCACAACATGATTTGGCTTTTCCAGGAGCTCTGGGCTCTCCTGACCAAAACAAAACAAAAAAAACCCAAAAAAATTCCCCAAAAAAACCCCCAAAAAACCCCAAATCACCAAAAAGCCCCCAAAAAAACCCCAAAACCCAAACCAACCAACCGAACAACAACAAAAAAAAACCCCAAAAATCCCAAACCAAACCCCAATCAGGACCAAAATAAACATTAAAAAACCCACTGTAAATTATTATTTGGGGTTTTTTTCTGTCTCCCAGAGGACAATTGTAGGAGATCCCAGCTCCTGAGGGCCCGGAGCCTCCTGACGTGGGTGGAAATTCCTGAGGAAGCTCCGTCCTGAGGGATCCTCTGGGATTTGGCTTTTCCAGGAGCTCTGGGCTCTCCTGACAGGATGGAGACAGGACAAAGGAGTCAAGAAATAAAGGAAATTATCCACTCCAAAGAATAGGCTAAAAATTCACCTCTCCCTGCAGACTTTGTGCTGCTGCTCAGAACTGAATCCAATTTTTGGAGCTATTTGGGTTCCTGGCAAGCCAAGTGAAATAATACACAATTAAATTATAAATAACATTAACATGAATTAATTGTTATTTTAATTATTATTTTATTAATGATTTTATAATAATATACTTTTCAATATACAAATTAAAAATAAATATATTAATCTATCTAATCATTCAAAATCTACTCACAAAAACCACAACAGCTCAAAAAAAAAGTGTCAAAAATCAAAGTTAATAATCAAACTTAATCAAATAACCCATCTAATAAAATTTAACATCATCAGAAAAATTTTAATATTTTATTAATTTTATAATAATATACTTTTCAATATACAAATTAAAAATAAATATATTAATCTATCTAATCATTCAAAATCTACTCACAAAAACCACAACAGCTCAAAAAAAAAGTGTCAAAAATCAAAGTTAATAATCAAACTTAATCAAATAACCCATCTAATAAAATTTAACATCATCAGAAAAAAAAAAATCTAAAAAATAAGTTTATGCATTTTAATCACCATAATAATGACACTAATCACAGTATTTTATTTTCTCTGGTACATTCAACAAATAGTTAACAAAATTATGTAAAAAATCAATATAACTCTCTGCCCTGCCTGGTTTATTTATGGGGACAATGTTCTTGGGATTGTTTCTTGCCTGGTTTTTTGGGGTTCAGTGTTCTGAGCCTGTTTCCTGTCTGGTTTTTGGGGTCAGTGTTCCTGGATCTGTTTCCTGCCTGGTCTTTTTATGGGGTCAGTGTTTTTGGGCCTGTGTTCTGCCTGGTTTTTGGGGTCAGTGTTCCTCAGGTGTTTCCTGCCTGGTTTTTTGGGGTCAGTGTCCCTGAGGCTGTTTCCCACCTGATTTTTTTATGGGGTCAATGTTTCTGAGCTGTGTCCTGCCTGGTTTTTTTGGGGTCAGTGTTCCTGGACCTGTTTCCTGCCTGATTTTTTTGTGGGGTCAGTGTTTCTGAATTTGTTTCCTGCCTCTCTTTTTGGGGTCAGTGTTTCTCAGGTGTTTCCTGCCTCTCTTTTTGGGGTCAGTGTTTCTCAGGTGTTTCCTGCCTCTCTTTTTGGGGTCAGTGTTTCTCAAGTGTTTCCTGCCTCTCTTTTTGGGGTCAGTGTTTCTCAGGTGTTTCCTGCCTGTTTTTTTTTATGGGGTCAATGTTTTTCAGGTATGTCTTGCCTGTTTTTTTGGTGTCAGTGTTTCTGAGCTGTGTTCTGCCTGGTTTTTTTGGGGTCAGTGTCTCTGAGGCTGTTTCCCACCTGGTTTTTTTGGGGTCAGTGTTTCTGGACCTGTTTCCTGCCTGATTTTTTTTTGTGGGGTCAGTGTTTCTGAATTTGTTTCCTGCCTCTCTTTTTGGGGTCAGTGTTTCTGGATTTGTTTCCTGCCTCTCTTTTTGGGGTCAGTGTTTCTCAAGTGTTTCCTGCCTGTTTTTTGGGGTTTTTTTATGGGGTCAATGTTTTTCAGGCATGTCTTGCCTGTTTTTTGGGGGTCAGTATTTCTGAGCTGTGTTCTGCCTGGTTTTTTTGGGGTCAGTGCTCCTGGGCCTGCTCTACCTGTGGAATTTCTTCAATTCCAGACAGGACCAATGAAAAAACAAAATCTCTGTGCTGGAGGTACCCCAAATTCAGGGCTCAGAGCCCAGGCTGCTGCTCCTCACCCCACAAATATATATAAAAATAACCTTATTCTCGCTCTGTGTGTCTTTTAGGCAGCTTTGGGATAAAAGAAACCGAGGTTACCTCACTGAGGAGTCACTCCCAGCCCTGCTCATCCTCTGAGAAACATAAACCTGCTGGATGCTGTGAGTAAACACTTCTATTTCTGTCGTTTGTCTTCCAAGCCCAACAAAAATAAGAGATGACTCCAGGCTGAGCCCTGGCTCCGCTGGTAACTGAGAAGTGACAGACCCAGGGCTCGAGCCAGGCTGGCATTTCTGGGGTCAGGGAGCTGAGGCTGCTGCCCTCTGGCCTGCAGCTGAGCAGAAATTAATTAGCAAAAAATAATCAGCAGGAATTAATCAGCAGGAATTATTCAGCAGAAATTCATCAGCAGAAATTCATCAGCAGAAATTCATCAGCAGAAATTCATCAGCAGAAATTATTCAGCAGAAATTATTCAGCAGGAATTAATCAGCAGAAATCCCCTTCAGGGTGGGCGAGCTTGTGAGAAACGCTGCTCACTTCCAAAAAAGTTTAGAAAGGTTCATTAAAACCCTGTCAAAAACACAGCAGAAATCTGAGCAGGGGAAATGTCACAGCTCCAGGAGCAGAGGATTTTTCCCACCAGGATTTTTTGCCTTTTAACCCTTTAATTCTGTCCCAAAATTCTGTCCCTCAGCTCCTTTGCTGTCCAGTGGTGGAGTTTAAACCCTTAAATCTTAATTAAAGGTCATAGTGACAATCCCACCCTCCCAAATAACAACCCAAGGGGGTTAAAATCCATAAAACATAACTACAAATCTATCAAACAGAATTAGAAATGTATAAAACATAGCAATAAATGTATAAAATAGAACTAGAAATGTATAAAATAGAACTAGAAATGTATAAAATATAACTAGAAATGTATAAACTATAAGTCTATAAAACATAATTAGAAATCTATAAAACTTCTATTAACATCTATAATTATATTTTCCTTTTAATTGTGGGAGTTAATGATGGCATTACTCATCTGTCCCAAGCTGTTCCTGGTGGTTTGGGGGAAAATCTGGGGGATGTTGGGATTTCTGCTGGGATTTCTGCTGGGATTTCTGCTGGGATTTCTTTTGGGATTTCTGCTGGGGTTTCTGGTGTTCTGGTTGGATTTTTGGTGGGATTTCTGCTGGGATTTTTTTGGGGACTTTTGTTGGGATTTCTGGTGTTCTGGTTGGATTTCTGCTGGGATTTTTGGTGTTCTGGTTGGATATTTGGTAGGATTTTGCTGGGATTTTTTTCTGGGATTTCTGCTGGGATTTTTTGGTGTTCTGCAGGGATGTTTTGGTGTTCTGCTGGGATTTCTGCTGGGATTTTTTCTGGGATTTTTTCTGGGATTTTTTCTGGGATTTTTTCTGGGATTTCTGCTGGGATTTTTTATGGGATTTCTGCTGGGATTTTTTATGGGATTTTTTCTGGGATTTCTGCTGGGATGTTTTGGTGTTCTGCTGGGATGTTTTGGTGTTCTGCTGGGATTTCTGCTGGGATTTTTCCTGGGATTTTTTCTGGGATTTCTGCTGGGATGTTTTGGTGTTCTGCAGGGATTTCTGCAGCAGCAAAGCTGCCGTGCCTCCCCTGGCTCCAGATTCAGGGTGAATCCAGGCAAGGACCAGCGCAAGCCCAGCCTGGATGGAAACAGGATTTGCCAATTCCTGTAAAGTTTAAAAATAACCCCAAACCCCTTGAAAGTCCAATGATTTTCCAGGCTGCTTTTTCCTGCTTGCACCAATTCCAGCAGGGCTTGAGGGGGATCAGAACTCCTGCAGGGTGTGAGCAGCATCCTCAGGGATAAACTGCCAAAAACCAGGGAATTAATGAGGGCTGAGCAACACTTCCTTGGGAAGTGAGGAATGGGAGGAAAAAATCTGAATTTATCCAGCAAGGGGCTCGGGAGATGGGGCTGGAATTATTATTATTATTATTATTATTATTATTATTATTATTATTATTATTATTATTATTATTATTATTATTATTATTATTATTATTATTATTATTATTATTATTATTATTATTATTATTATTATTATTATTATTATTATTATTATTATTATTATTATTATTATTATTATTATTATTATTATTATTATTATTATTATTATTATTATTATTATTATTATTATTATTATTATTATTATTATTATTATTATTATTATTATTATTATTATTATCATTATCATTATCATCATTATTATCATTATTATCATTATTATCGTTATTATAATCACCATCATAATTCTTATCGTTATTGTTTTAATTTTTATTATTTTTATTATATTTATTTTATTTTTAAATCTATTTTTTATTAATTATTATGGGATATGATGGGGGCAGGTGAAATCTGGGTCAGGTTTTAGGAATTTTGGGATCTGCATCAGCCTCTCCTCCCCCTGAAGCTTCCAGCACAGCCTTTGGAAAGAGGGGCTGCACCTCAGCTTATAAAATTTAATAGAAATTATCACTTTAATAATAAAATTATAACAGCCTGGGATGCAGATGGGCCCCAGACTGGGAGGAGAACCCAAAAGTGCCCTCAGGTGTTCCTTGGGAAGGGAGGGATGGAAGGAAATAATCTGTATTTATCCAGCAGGGGCTCTGGGTGGGCCTGGAGATGGGGCAGGAGGAGGATGGGATGGGATTGGGTTTATTATTTATATTATTTATTATTATTTGTATTAATTATGATGGGGTTTGGTGGGATATGGTGGAGGTCTGGGTTAAATTTTAGGAATTTGGGGATCTGAACCAGCCTCTCCTCCCTCTGCAGCTTCCAGCACAGCCTTTGGAAAGAGGGGCAGCACCTGTGTACAAAAATTTAATAGAAATTATCATTTTAATTATAAAATTATAACATCCTGGGACGCAGATGGGCCCCAGACTGGGAGGGGAACCCAAAAGTCCCTCTGGATCCGTGGTTTTTAATTCAGCTCCATTTTCCATGGGGTGCAAACCTTTGGGCTCAGCTCTTTCCTCTCTGAGCAGCCCAAACTCCTGCTGAGGTTTTATTTTATTTTTACAGTTCCCAGGGGAGAGGAAATAAAGTGGGAGGAAATGTTGCTCACCAGTGCCTGTAATCCCCAAATCTTCCAAAAAATCCCTTTTTTGCTGCTTTTCAGCCTGCTCCCTCCCCACGCCAGGGAGGGGAGGACTGATGGATTTCTTCATCGCTGGATGGAGTTTTTTTTAATTTTTATTTTTGTTGAGGTTGGGATTGAAGGTGTTCAAGATGGCATTTTGTGTTTAGTTTTAAATACTTTTATTTTTTCTTATTTATATTATTTCTTATAATTATTTCCTTTTTTCCCTTATTTATCTTTATTTTTTATTTATATTATTTTTATAATTATTTCTCATTTATTTTTTCTTATTTATCTTTATTTTTTTCTTATTTATATTATAGTAGTGAGTTTCATATTATTTCATTAATAAGGTATTAAATGGTTAACTGTTTTTTCCTATAAAACCTTTTAAGGTTAAACTTTAAACTTTCTACTCTGTAATGTTATACACTTCTAATCAAGCACACACAATTCTAGTTACTAATTGATTTTGAATTTTTACCAATTAATTTACCAATTACCAATTCAGTTTGAATTTTTACCAATTCATTTACCAATTACCAATTCATTTTGAATTTTTACCAATTCCCAATTCATTTTGAATTTTTTAATTATTTCCTTTTTTCCCTTATTTATCTTTATTTTTTATTTATATTATTTTTATAATTATTTCTCATTTATTTTTTCTTATTTATCTTTATTTTTTCTTATTTATATTATTTCTTATTTATTTTTTCTTATTTATCTTTATTTTTTTCTTATTTATATTATAGTAGTGAGTTTCATATTATTTCATTAATAAGGTATTAAATGGTTAACTGTTTTTTCCTATAAAACCTTTTAAGGTTAAACTTTAAACTTTCTACTCTGTAATGTTATACACTTCTAATCAAGCACACACAATTCTAGTTACCAATTCATTTTGAATTTTTACCAATTCATTTACCAATTACTAATTCATTTTGAATTTTTTACCAATTACTAAGAAATTTTTACTTTTTACCAATTACCAATTAATTCTGAATTTTTACCAATTAATTTACCAATTACTTTTGAACTGTTACCAATTACCAATTAATTCTGAATTTTTACCAATTCATTTTGAATTTTTACCCATTAATTCACCAATCACCAATAAATTTTGCATTTTTCCCCTACAACCCCAGCTCGCCTCTAACCCTTCCTTAAACCCCCACATTTATTACCACCAAAAACCCCCAAATCCCCACCCCCCCTCTCCCTGCCCTTCCCCACCTCCCCCGAGCCCTTCCCCACTCCCTGAGCCCTTCCCCACTCCCTGAGCCCTTCCCCACCTCCCCTGAGCCCTTCCCCACCTCCTTTGAGCCCTTCCCCACCTCCCCTGAGCCCTTCCCCACCCCCCTTTGGGCTACCAATTAATTCTGAATTTTTACCAATTCATTTTGAATTTTTACCCATTAATTCACCAATTACCAATAAATTTTGAACTTCTACCAATCACCAATTAATTTTGAATTTTTTTACCAATTACTAATCAATTTTGACTTTTTACCAATTACCAATTCATTCTGAACTTTTACCAATTAATTCTGAATTTTTACCAATTCATTTTGAACTTTTACCAATTAATTCTGAACTTTTACCAATCACCAATTAATTCTGAATTTTCACCAATTAATTCTGAATTTTCACCAATCACCAATAAATTTTGAATTTTTCCCCTACAACCCCATCTCCCCTCTAACCCTTCCTTAAACCCCCACATTTATTACCACCAAAAACCCCCAAATCCCCACCCCCCCTCTCCCTGCCCTTCCCCACCTCCCCCGAGCCCTTCCCCACTCCCTGCCTTCCCCACTCCCCGAGCCCTTCCCCACTCCCTGTGAGCCCTTCCCCACTCCCCGAGCCCGGTATCCCGAGCCCGGGACGCTCCTCCCAGAGGACTGGCCAATATCCCAGGGCAGGGCAGCTCCGCCGCCTGTCCCACTCTTCCTTTCTTTAGAAACGCCTTTTTCCTTCTTCTAGCTCATTCCGCTCCGGCACAGCTTTGGATTTCTCGCCGCTTTTCTTTCCTTTTTTAATTTTTTTTCTTTTTTTTTCTTTTTTTTTTCCCCCTGTAGTTACTGGCTTGCTGCCAGCACCTCGCAGGGCCAAAGTTTTATTACCTAAATTTTAATTATCTAAATTTTTATTATTTAAATTTTTAATACCTGAATTTTTAATACCTGAATTTTTAATACCTAAATTTTAATACCTGAATTTTATTATCTAAATTTTAATACTTAAATTTTTAATACCTGAATTTTTAATATCTAAATTTTTAATACCTAATTTTTTTATTATTTAAATTTTTAATACCTAAATTTTATTATCTGATTTTTTATTACCTAAATTTTTTAATACCTAAATTTTTAATACCTGAATTTTTATTATCTCCATTTTTATTACCTAAATTTTTATTATTTAAATTTTTATTATTTACATTTTTAACACCTCAATTTTTATTATCTGCAGGAACACACTTTTCAAACCCAGCCCACGGACCGAGCCCCGCTGCTGGCTCCGGGAGCCCGAGCAGAAGGAGCTGTCGGGATGGATTTATGGCTTTAAAAGGAGCGGAGGGGCAGGAAGGAAAATCCCCCGCAGGAGCCGCAGCTCGCAGCGCAGCCCGGCATGGCTCGCCGTGCCTGAGCTCGGCACTTTCCTGAGCCCACGCGTGGATTTTGGGCGTTCCGGCCAGCAGCAGGCTCGGCGATGTTGGCCAAGGTGATTTTTTCCCTTTTTCTGTGGCTGCGGGTCGCTGCGGGGCAGGACCCACCTGAGCCAGGTGAGTGCCAGGCGCTCCCGCGCTGCTTTTCCTCCTTTCTTCCTCCCTTTCTCCTCAAAAAACCTTTTCCAGGGTAAAAGCTGAGCCTGCGGGGCTGCTTTAGGTACAAGAAACAAACCCGCCCTGCCTGCAATTGCTGCTGAGAAAGTCGATTTTTGTGGTGTGAGTTTGTTTGTTCGCGGTGGGGGAGAGGGAATTGCGCGGAAATGTGCGGAGTTCGGGGCGATCCTGCGGGAAATCCTCGCTGGGGGCGCTGAGGGGAAATCAGCGCGGAATGGCTGGAACTCGATCGCTGCGGCTTGGATCGGCTTTGTGCGGGGAACGGCAGCGGGGCAGGCAGGGACGGGTCCGTGGATGATCCATGGACGATCCGTGGATGGATTCCGGGCAGGACTCAGCCCTCAGCGGTGCCTGAGCTGCTGCAGTCAGCCTGTCCTGCTGTGGAGGAGGTTCTGTGCCCCCAGTGGTGGTTCTGTTGGGTTCTGAGGCTCCAGGGATGGTTCTGTTGGTTCGGTTCTGTGCCTGCAGGGATTTTTCTGTTCAGTTCTGTGCCTGCAGGGATGGTTCTGTTTGTTCAGTTCTGTGCTTGTAGAGATGGTTCTGTTCAGTTCTGTGCCTGCAGGGGTGGTTCTGTTGGTTTGGTTCTGTTGGCTCTGTTGGTTCTGTAGCTCCAGGGATGGCTCTGTTGGTTTGGTTCTGTTCGGTTCTGTAGCTCCAGGGATGGTTCCGTTGGGTTCTGTAGCCCCAGGGATGGCTCTGTTGGGTTTCCAGTGCACCTGGGAGCTGCAGTCTCCAGTCTGCCTGGCCAGGAGCCCTCAGCCAGGGCAGCCGGGTGTGACAGGGCTGCTGGGGACAGCGAGGCTGGGCTGGGGCTCTGAGCCCTCACGGGGAGCTGCCTCTGTCCCTCAGTGTCCCACTGAGGTCTGTCCCTGTGTCCCAGGGCGGATTTGTTCTGTTGGTTCGGTTCTGTTGGTTCTGTATCCCCAGGGCTGGTTCTGTTGGTTCTGTGCCTGCAGGGGTGGTTCTGTTGGTTCTGTTGGTTCGGCTCTGTTGGTTCTGTAGCTCCAGGGATGGCTCTGTTGGTTTGGTTCTGTTCGGTTCTGTAGCTCCAGGGATGGTTCCGTTGGGTTCTGTAGCCCCAGGGATGGCTCTGTTGGGTTTCCAGTGCACCTGGGAGCTGCAGTCTCCAGTCTGCCTGGCCAGGAGCCCTCAGCCAGGGCAGCCGGGTGTGACAGGGCTGCTGGGGACAGCGAGGCTGGGCTGGGGCTCTGAGCCCTCACGGGGAGCTGCCTCTGTCCCTCAGTGTCCCACTGAGGTCTGTCCCTGTGTCCCAGGGCGGATTTTGTCCCTCAGTGTCCCTGGGTGGCTTCTCTCCCTCAGTTTCCCAGCTGGGTTCTGTCCCTCAGTGTCCTATTGGGGTCTGTCCCAGTGGATTCTGTCCCTCACAGGGAGCTGGGCTCTGTCCCTCAGTGTCCCAGGCTGGATTTTGTCCCTCAGTGTCCCGGGGTGGCTTCTGTCCCTCAGTGTCCCACTGGGGCAGGAGCGCTGCTGCAGCTCCTGGCATTGTCCCAGCACTCCCAGTCCACCCAGGCAGCAGCAATTCCCATTGTCCTGCCCCCCTGCCACCCTGGGAGCCCGTGGCATTTTCCCAACCCGTGGCATTTCCCAGCCCGGGCTCAGAACAATGCTCAGGCCTTCAGGGGCCGTGACAAAGGCAGCCCTGGCATTCCAGAAGGGCTGTGCCCTGCTCCAGAGGCAGGGCTTGGGTTTGGGGCTGAGCTGGGTTTGGGGCTGAGCTGGGTTTGGGATGAGCTGGGTTTGGGCTGAGCTGGGTTAGGGGCTGAGCTGGGTTTGGATGAGCTGGGTGTGGGGATGAGCTGGGTTTAGGATTGATCAGTGTTAGGGCTGAGCTGTGTTTGGGGATGAGGTGGGTTTGGGATCAGCTGGGTTTAGGATTGATCAGTGTTAGGGCTGAGCTGGGTTTGGGGCTGAGCTGGGTTTGGGCTGAGCTGGGTTTGGGCTGAGCTGGGTTAGGGGCTGAGCTGGGTTTGGGATGAGCTGGGTTTGGGATGAGCTGGGTTTGGGATGAGCTGGGTTTGGGCTGAGCTGGGTTTGGGCTGAGCTGGGTTAGGATGAGCTGGGTGTGGGACTGAGCTGGGTTTGGACGAGCTGGGTGTGGGACTGAGCTGGGTTTAGGATTGATCAGTTTGGGCTGAGCTGTGTTAGGATGAGCTGGGTTAGGGTCAGCTGCCTTTGGCCTGTCCCCTCTGGACAGCAGATGCCATCCCAGCCTGGCACAGCTCCTGTCCCGAGGGGCTGTGCTGCCGTGCCACGGGCACAGGGACAGGAACACTTCACCCATGGAGAAGAAGAAGAAGGTAAATAAGATCAGCCAGCCTCCACCCTAAAACCTCCATCTTCCTTCATATTTATTTCTATATTCTAAAACCCCAAACTCTACATTTTCCACCCGTGACATTACACACTTCTGACCAACCCCACGCCCACAACCCCAATTCTGTCATTCCATTTTGGAGCCCTTCTCCACAGCCCCAGGCCAGTGCAGTGCTCTCCTGTGGGTCTGCACCTTTAAGCACAGAAGGTTTAAAACCAGGCTTCCAGCACAAGCCGTGGAAGAAGACAAGGGTGGGATGTCAAAGCCAGTTAACCCAGACAGGAGATGATCCTGGCTGGCTGAGAGAGCCCCAGGAGCCCCAGGGCTGTGTAAATCGGAGCGTGGGGAGCCCGGCCAGCGGATGTCTCCTGTCAGCATCCCGGGAAGCCCGGCCAGCTGCTTTCCTGCTGGAAAAGCCAGCAGGCAGCGTTGTGTTTCCATGGTGATGTTCTGCTTCCCATATCCAACCTTCAAAACACTCCAGAGCCCGGGGCATCCACCCAGGGCCGGGCAGGACCTGCTGGTGTCCCTGTCACACCCGGGCTCCAGCAGAGCACATCTGCACTTCCCCCGGCACTGCAGGAGGCAGGGAATTTCTTGTGGGTGCCCCTTCCCCTCCAAACCCCCCCCAAAAAATGAGAAATCCTCATCTGGCACCCGGCCAGGCCGTCTGGAGCGAGGGAAGGGCCTGAGAGCAGCGGCTGCCTGCAAAGCAGGGATGTGCCGGTGCCAAAGCTGTGCAGCCCCACCTCTGGCACCGATGGCATGTTTGTGCTGGATGCAGCACGGGGCAGGAGGAAGGATGAGGGAACTGGAGCTGCAGGGCAGGGTGATTTCAGTGTCTGCTTGCTTTGTGAGCCTTGCCACGCTCCCGATGGGGGCCGAGCCCTTCTCTCCATTTTTTTTTTCTTTTTTAAATGGATTCTTTCTGCTGAACAGGAGGAATTTGTTTCCATCTCATGAGTGTCACAGAGGGAAGGGGTTTGAATGAAGGAGAAGCTTTCTGCTTGGCCCACAGAGGGTTTCTTTAGCCCCCAAACACCCCCCTGCCCTTCAGCTGCTGGTTTTGTTAACCACTTGTGGTTAACCGAGGCAGAGCCCTGTGGGGTCAGCCTGGGGCTCTCCCTAATTAACAGCAATGAGTAATGGAGAATTACTCATTTAAGGGATGTGAATGTGAAGTCCCACTCCCTTGGTGCCCCAGAGCTGCAGGGGACAGACAGAAGGACACGGCTGTGACTGCCCAAACCTTTGTTTTTTGGGGTTTAACCCAAAAGGACACGGCTGTGACTGCCCTTTGTTTTTTGGGGTTTCACACAAAAGGATATGGCTGTGACTGCCCAAACCTTTGTTCTTTTGGGGTTTCACACAAAAGGACATGGCTGTCACTCCCCAAACCTTTGTTTTTTGGGGTTTCACCCCAAAGGACACAACTGTGAGTCCTCAAAGCTTTGCTCTTTTGGGGTCTCACACAAAAGGACACAGCTGTGACTGCCCTTTGTTTTTTGGGGTTTCACCCCAAAGGACACAACTGTGACTCCCCAAACCCTTGTTCTTTTGGGGTTTCACACAAAAGGACACAGCTGTGACTCCCCTTTGCTCTTTTGGGTTTTAACCCAAAAGGACACTGCTGTGACTCCCCAAACGATTGTTTTTTTGGGGTCTAACCCAAAAGGACAGGGCTATGACCCCCCCTTTGCTCTTTTGGGGTGTCACACCGGTGCTCACCCAGCCGTTCCCCACGCAGGTAGCTCTGGCAGCAGTGGGATTTCTGCTCCCTCGGTGAATTCCCAGCTCCCCTCCCTGCCTGTGCACATGACCCCGCTGTTTACTGCTGCAGGAACGTCCTTTGGCCCCCGATCCCTGCCCAGCTTTCCCAGCTGCTCCTTGCAACATTTGGGGATTGAGGGACGCTTCCAGAGCAGCGAGGAGCCGAGGGCAGGAACAGCCCCGTGCTGCCAGGAGCTCTCCCCGTGTCCTGCCAGCCAAACCAGTGGCTTGTGCTCCCTCCAGCAGAGGGGAGAGCCCGGGGCTGGAGCCAGCAGGGCCCTGCTGGATGCCACTGGGAGCTCTGGAGGGGGTGGCAGGGTGCCAGGGCCAGACGCTTTCCCAGCTGCTCCTTGCAACATTTGGGGATTGTCCTGCCAGCCAAACCAGTGGCTTGTGCTCCCTCCAGCAGAGGGGAGAGCCCGGGGCTGGAGCCAGCAGGGCCCTGCTGGATGCCACTGGGAGCTCTGGAGGGGGTGGCAGGGGCCTGTGGGGTCACAGCCCAGCTCTGCTGGGTGCTGTGGTCATTCCTGGGCTCCACTTTGGTTTCCTGCCCAGCTCTGAGCTGCAGGGGGGTGTGTGTGGCTTGGGTGAGCTGTGCTGGGTCACACAGGGCTGGCCAGGATCCAGCTGGGCTGCAGGGCATGGAGTCAGGGAATGATTGGGGTTGGAGGGACCTTAAATCCCACCCCATCCCACCCCTGCCATGGCAGGGACGCCTTCCACTGTGCCAGGCTGCTCCAAGCCCCATCCAGCCTGGCCTTGGGCACTGCCAGGGATCCAGGGGCAGCCACGGCTGCTCTGGGCCTCATTTGGGGAATTCCTCGTTGGGAATTTCTCCTATATCCCACCTAAGCCACCACCCTCATTTAGGGAATTTCTCCTAATATCCCACCTAAGCCACCACCCTCATTTGGGGAATTCCTCATTGGGAATTTCTCCGAATATCCCACCTCATTTGGGAATTTCTCCATGGGAATTTCTCCCAATACCCCACCTAAGCCACCACCCTCATTTGGGGAATTCCTTGTTAGGAATCTCTCCCAATACCCCACCTAAGCCTCCCCCTGTCAGTCTGAAGCCATCCCCCTCACCCTGTCACTCCATGCCCTCATCAATAATCACTCCCAGGTAAATTTAACTCTCTCCATTCCTGGTCTCTCCTGCTGCTCCAGCAGATCCCTCGTGCCTCTCCCATCTCTCCAGCGCCTCTCCCTGAACCCTGGGGTTTGGCAGCAAGGTCCCTGTTGCTATAAAGTGTGACACAGCACAAAGCACCCAACCCCACCAGAAGGGTGTGTGAGAGGGATTCATTACAGCAACACGTCGCTTTTATAGTCTTTCAAGATATTTACATTTACCTAACAGAAACATCCATAATAAGAAAGAAACAAAGTTCCTAATAGGCAACCAGGGAGCCAGGTCATTTTGTGAGCCAGCTGAGGTCTGTATTTTTAATTTCCCTCTTCTGTCACGTTGCCACAGTGATGGCCTTGATGTGTTCCTTGAGAAAGCGAAAGCCCCGTATCTATCTCCAGGAAGCCTTCTCTGGCTCACAAGAACAGCACGAAATGTCTTTCCCCCAGGTGCCTGTGCAGGTTTTGGGTTCCCAGCACCCCCTAATGCTGCTCCTTGTCCCCTGCCAGGTCCCCAGCCGTCCACCTCCAACAGCGAGGGCGACCTCCTCTTCCTGCTGGACAGCTCCGCCAGCGTCTCCCACTACGAGTTCTCCAAGGTCAAGGAATTCATGTGGGACCTCCTGCGCCCCCTCACCTTCGGCCCCAGGGACGTGCAGACCAGCATCATCCACATCAGCACCACTCCCACCATGGAGTTCCCCTTCGACCGGCACGCGAGCGGCGGCGCCCTGCGCAGGGCCATCGGCGACACGCGGCAGCTGATGGGCGACACCAACACGGGCAGAGCCCTGTCCTACGCCAGGGAAAAGCTCTTCAGCGGCCAGGCCGGCGCCCGCCCAGACGTGCCCAAGGTGCTGGTGTGGGTGACGGACGGCTTCTCCACGGATGACATCTCGGAGCCCATGCAGCTGCTGAAGGACAGGGGCGTCACCGTGTTCATCGTCAGCACCGGCCGCGGGAACTTCCTGGAGCTGTCGGCGGCTGCCAGCCAGCCCTCGGACAAACACCTGCACTTCGTGGACGTGGACGACCTGCCCATCATCACCGAGGAGCTCAGGGATGCCATCCTAGGTAGGCTGGCAGGGTGGGGTTCAGATGGGGGATGCCTGTCAGAAGCCAGGACGTCGCTCTGGGTGCCCTGGGTGGCTCCAGCCCCGGGCTGGGGAATCCTGGCAGGAAACTCAAGACACTTGAGTTGTCATTTTATTGCAAAAGTTCCATATTGTCATCTCCTTATCACAAAAGTTGGTGTGGTTTCGTGGGCAGCTCCTCAGAGCACTGACTCTCTCTTCCTCACCCAGCAGCCAGCTGACCCCAGTTCCTGACAACCCATTTTTTACAGCACTCTTCTTCTTACTGGGGGCCTGTTGAAGTCAGGCCTGCTCCTAATCTTTGCTAATTAACCCAGCTGCAACTCCTTGGGGGTAAGACTGCTCTCTGCACTATCTTTATTTCCTTATATTCTATCCCCCCCACACACACTTGGGACTTCGATTTTAACCCATGGAGCAAATTACCAACCTTGTGTGAAGAGTTACAAGTCACAAAAGTTTACGTGGAATGATAATGAATTTATCACGGGGTGAAAAGTGGAATTTTGGGGATTTTACTATAGGGCTCTAGGAGGCAAGATGGAGGGATTTGGGCATTGTCTTGATCTTCTTCTTCCTTCTTCTTCTTCCTTCTTCTTCTTCCTTCTTCTTCTTCCTTCTTCTTCCTTCTTCTTCCTTCTTCTTCCTTCTTCTTCCTTCTTCTTCCTTCTTCTTCCTTCTTCTTCCTTCTTCTTCCCAGCCTCCATTTTCTGTGTGATGTTGGCTCTGGGGGGTGGGCAGTGGGAGAATCCCCCAAATCCCACGCTCATCCTGACCCCAAAGCCCTGCCCTGGCAAATTGTGGGGCTTGCCCACCGTGCCACAGGTCCAAACCAAGGCTTCTGGGAGGTCTGGGACAAATATTTGCCCTTGGAATATTTGAGAGAGTGGGACAGATTCCCTTCAGTGAATTGGAGTTGTGCTTGTGAGGAGCTCAGCTGGGAATGAGGAACTCAGGCAGCAAAATATCTGAATTCCTTAAAACCCCACAAGTCTTTGAGATGAGTCACGCAGGTCAGGCACCTGCACAGCCCAGGCAGAGCACGAAAATGCCCCCACCTGCACGGGCTGTTAACCAAAGGTTTCCCAAACAGGAGTGAATTCACCTCAGCAAGATCGTGGACACAAAGTGCCTGAGCCCCCGAGCTGATTTTCACATTCAGGTTGATTTTTATTTTTTTCTTCTCTCAAAAGTTCCTGTCTCTGTGCCAGCTGATGGAGGAACACAAACGTGTGGAGCACATCTGAAATGGGATGTGTGTCCCTGGCAAGGATTTGGTCCTGTCAGCTCCCTCCAACTCTTGTTTAGGATAAATCTGACTCCCTGAAATACTCCACCAGGGGCTGAGACCTCCAACTCCTGCAGTTGTTCTCTTAGAAAACACAGTTCAGGACGGTGCCTGCTGTCAGCATTGAGGCTATAGGAAAGGAATGTTTTTGTTCCATAAATCCCCTGTTCTGACGTGCTCCACATCTGCCAGATCCTGGGCCTGACTTGGCCAGCACAGCCTCGGGAAGAGCAGCCCAGCCCTGCCCCAGCAGCCAAGTGTTACCTCTGTGCTCCTCGGGGGGCTGGGAGGGGGAATGCCGCTGGGAATGCCGCTGGGAGTGCCGCTGGGAATGCCGCTGGGAGTGCCACTGCTGCCAGAGCTACCTGCAGGGAGCACCAGTGGGAAACCCCAGAAGGGCAAAGGGGACTCACAGCTGTGTCCTTTTGTGTGAAACCACAAAAGAGCAAAGGTTTGGGGACTCACAGCTGTGTCCTTTTGGGTGAAACCCCAAAATACAAAGGCTTAGGAAGTCAGAGCCATGTCCTTTTGGGTGAAATCCCAAATGAACAAAGGTTTGGGGAGTCACAGCCGTGTCCTTTGGGGTTAAACCCCAAAAGAACAAAGGAGATGATAAAACCTGCCTGAGGGCAGCATTCTGTGAACCCAGCAGGTCCAAAACCTCCTGGGCTGGGATTTTACTGCCAGGTGAGATTCCCACATGGATCCAGGGCTTGCACAGTGCCAGATTTTGGTCACACCACCTGATTTCACCTTAATAAAGCCCCTTAAGCCAATGCTGCCTGCCTGGAGGAGACAGCCCTCAGCCAGCACCCCTCCTGGCATGGCAGGGACAGGCAGCATCTGGGCAGGCAGGAATTCATTCATTCCAGCTCTGGAATGGCCCAGACTGGTTTAATTATCACTTATCTTCATCTCCTGCTACTGTTAAAAAAAAAAAAAAACAACAAAAAAAAAAAAAAAAACCAAAAAAAAAAACCGGGTGAGACAATACAGATGTTCTAATAAGGGGGATGGAGGCTTTTGGAGAGGCACAAACAAGCTTTGTCAAGAGCTGCTCTCCTCCCTCCACCTCCTCTCCAGGAATGTGTCCTGCCTGCTCCACAGAAATTCCAAACCCAGCCTTGCTGCCAAGCTGCTGCAGCCTCAGGTGGGCTGAGGAGCCTCAGCCTCCCCAGGGGGACGTGGTGGAGCTGAAATGGCTCCAGAGCTGCTGCTGCTGCTCTGGGAGGGGGCAGGACAGGGCTGGGGGTGTTCACTGCCTGTGGTTCCTCGGCCGGTGCAGGAATTCTGCAGAATGCAGCTGTGGCACAGCTGGCTCCTGGCAGGCACCCACGCCCTTCCCAGAGGGGAGGGAAGGCTCTCAGGCTGTGCAGGAGCTCAGGTTCCTGCTGCTGGATCTCAGATCTGCCCAAAACGCGGCATTTGGTGCTCTCCTGCTGGGGAAGGACCCTCTTGGTTGTGAAACCAGGGCATTCCTCCGAGGTGACATCAGCCCAGTGCCTGCAGCCACTTGCTCCGTGCTCAGCTAAGCTGAGGCTGCTGCCTCCTTCCAGCCTCTGGCAGCCAGGCTTTGCAGGAGCCGGCGTGCCCTGAGCACCCCCACATCCCACACGTGCTCAGGGCAGGGCATTTCTCACCCAAAACCTCTCCTGGGCGAGCCCTGCTGCAGGGAAGGCTGTGAGCTCTGCTGGTCTCACCTGGAGCTGAGTCCGGGCAGGTGAGCACACCTCAGGCCCTGCAGGTGGACGAGGGAAATCCCCCCTCCCAGAATCAGAACATGTCCCCTCTCACCTCAAACACAACCAGAACACACAAGGGGTTTGTCCCAAATCCCAGCTGCAGCTTCCCAGACCCAGTTTAGGACAGGTTCTTCTGCAGCCAGGCAGGAGATCCTGTCCCAGTCTGAGAAACTGCAGGAGAACCTGTCCTAATCTGGGTCTGAGACTGCAGGAGATCCTGTGCTAATCTGAGAAACTGCAGGAGATCCTGTCCTAATCTGAGAAACTGCAGGAGATTTTATCCTAATCTGGGTTTGAAAAACTGCAGGAGAACCTGTCCTCATCTGAAAAAGTCCAGGAGATCCTGTCCTAATCTGAGGAAGTCCAGGAGATCCTGTCCTAATCTGAGGAACTCCAGGAGATCCTGTCCTAATCTGAGGAACTCCAGGAGATCCTGTCCCAATCTGGGTCTGAGAAGCTGCAGCTGGGATTTTTTTGGGGACAAATCTGTGCTTTCTTGCTGCTCTTGCTGCTGTTTTTTTCTCACCCTCATCATGAAGCCAGCAGCATTCCTGCAGGTCTGATCCTGATCTTTGCAGAGCTCGTAGGGCAAAGTCTGGAGGAGGAGGGAAAGTGTCACCAGCTGAGTGTCACCAGGCAGGCACTGCCTGGGTCCTGTCCAGGATATTAATTATTATTAATTATTATTAATTATTATTAATTATTGCTGCTACTCTCTAGGAGCAGAGGGGCTGGGAAACACATTTTTGGATTTTTTGATCCAGAGATGGGGCAACTGCGAGGTGTTTGAAAAGTTTTTATTCTATTTTCAGTCTCATGTGAAGGGTGAGACAATACAGATGTTCTAATCCATGCCATTACAATTGGGAGTTAACTATTTCTTAATTGTAGTACATTATAGGTGTTTTTTGGTTTATTAGATTTAGCTGCACTATGTTGTAAATGTTTTAAAGCCAATCATCTAAAATTCCTCCTCGTGGGCCCTACTACAATGCATCTTTCATGGTTCTGTTCCTCCAAAGTGTCTAATCTTTTTTGTAAGGTCATCTTTTGAAACTTGGTTTCTGGTTTCACTTCTCTCTCCACAATGCCTGTCCTGTGCCACGGCATTTCTAAACCAGCATTTCTTATCTCCAGGTTTGCACTGCGTGAGCCTTCTGTCTGGCCTGGAGAACTCTCTATAAATCCTCACAACTGCGGGCATTTATTTCTTTATTCTCTGTGTTTTATTGCCCTTTTTATACGCTGAAGGCTTGCAGGGCTCTGGCAACGAGGGGCAGAGCTGTTTGCTGCGGGCTTCCTGCCCTTTGATCCACGGCGTCCCTGCTCACTTAATTTCCATTCCCTGAGCTTTTGGCAGGATTTTTGGCAGCGCTGACACCTTTCCTGTGCTCCCTGCTCCTTCGTGGCTCGGCCCCTGGGGTTTGTGGGGCTCCCAAAAAGGGGCAGTGCCCCAGGAGCCGTGGCTGGGATGGGAGGGATGGGGGGGGATGGGATGGGATGGGATGGGATGGGATGGGATGGGATGGGCACAGAGCACGGAAATGTTCCTGCCTGCCTGCCTGGGAGAGCCAGGGAACAGCTCAGAGGAAAAACTGAGGCTGTTTTATTTGGTACAGAGGAGTTGGCAGGGCTCGGAGGAGGAGAGCTGATCCTCCCCCAGCCAAAGGACGAGTCTGGGAGGGAAAAGCAGCCCCAGCTTGCAGCTTTTGGGAGGAATTCTGTGCCTCCCTTCACCTCCGTGCAATGGGAGACAGTGAGAGCTGCCTGGAGTGCTCTGTGAGTGCCTGAGCAGGAACTGGAAGGTTTTTTATGAGGATTTAGGGGCACTTCATGCTCAGGGTGCTCGTAGAAATCCTTTAAAAATAGAAGAGATCTCCACGTCACTCCCCTGGAGTTAGAAACAAAGTCCTGTGTGTTTGTGCCTCTCTGCAAGACCAGAGAACACTGGAATTGTGCCCAAAATGGGCAGGTCAGAAGGGTCAAGGAGCTGGGGGAGCTGCCCAGCACCACCAGAGGGATTTGTGCCTGGTGTTTGTGGTGTGGAGCCTCGAAGAGAAGCAGTGACCATCCCTGGGTGTGTTCAGCAAAGCCTGGAGTGGCACTGGGTGCCAGGGTTCAGCTGGGGAGTTGGGGCTGGGCTGGACTCCATGGTCTTGAAGGTCTCTTCCATCCTGGGGATTCTGAGAATTTGGGGGAATTTTGGGAATTCCCAGGAACCAGGGAGGTGCTGCAGTGACCATCCCTGGGTGTGTTTAACAAAGCCTGGATGTGGCACTGGGTGCCAGGGTTCAGCTGGGGAGTTGGGGCTGGGCTGGACTTGATGCTCTTGAAGGTCTCTTCCAACCTGGGGAATCTGTGCATTTGGGAAAATTCTGTGAATTTGGGGGAATTTTGGGAATTCCCAGGAACCAGGGATGTGCTGCAGTCAACATCCCTGAGTGTGGCACTGGGTGCCAGGGTTGAGCTGAGGTGCTGGGGCTGGGTTGGACTCGATGATCTTTAAGGTCTCTTCCAACCCAGTGATTCTGTGAATTCTGTGAATTCTGTGATTCTGTAATTGCGTGACTCGGGGCCAGGGAGCGGTGAGGTGGCACAAGAGGGCTCTGAGTGTTGAATGTCACCGAACAAGGGAGCTCTGTGAGCCCTGCAGGGGCTGGGTCCAGCTGGCTCAGCAGGGCTGGCACTGCCCACGGGCTGCCCTTTCCTCCTGGGCACCGGGCACTGCCCAGAGCAGGGAGAGATGGGGAAATAATGGGGAAATAATGGAGAAATAATGGGGAAATGGAGAGATGGGGAAATAATGGGGAAATGGGGAAATGGAGAGATGGAGAGATGGGGAAATAATGGAGAAATGGAGAGATGAGAGATGGGGAAATAATGGAGAAATGGAGAAATAATGGAGAAATAATGGAGAAATAATGGAGAAATAATGGGGAAATGGAGAGATGGAGAGATGGGGAAGTAATGGAGAAATGGAGAAATAATGGAGAAATAATGGGGAAATGGAGAGATGGAGAGATGGGGAAATAATGGAGAAATGGAGAGATGAGAGATGGGGAAATAATGGAGAAATGGAGAAATAATGGAGAAATAATGGAGAAATAATGGAGAAATAATGGGGAAATGGAGAGATGGAGAGATGGGGAAGTAATGGAGAAATGGAGAAATAATGGAGAAATAATGGGGAAATGGAGAGATGGAGAGATGGGGAACAAATGGAGAAATGGAGAAATAATGGAGAAATAATGGGGAAATGGAGAGATGGAGAGATGGGGAACAAATGGAGAAATGGAGAAATAATGGAGAAATGATGGGGAAATAATGGGGAGATGGGGAAATGGAGAGATGGGGAAATAATGGGGAAATGGAGAGATGGAGAGATGGGGAAATAATGGGGAGATGGGGAAATGGAGAGATGGGAAAATGGAGAAATGGGGAAATCCAACACCACACCTCGGTGACTTCAGCGGTGCTGCAGCTGCACCCCTGATCCCGCAGGGCTGGGCCTGCAGGTGCTCCGCGCGCTGATGCCAGCAGTGATTCCTGTCCCTCTTCCAGATGTCATCCGAGCCAACCGGCTCCACGCCACCGACGTCACCTCCAGCAGCTTCCGCCTGGTGTGGCCCCAGCTGCTGTCCCAGGACAGCGGCTTCTACAGCCTGCAGTACAGCCCCCGAGGGGACCCCGCAGGGACCAGGACCCTGCAGGTGTCGGGGGCCCTCAGCAGCCTCCTGCTCACCAACCTGGCGCCAGAAACCACCTACGAGGTGGCTCTGACCCCCGAGTCCAACGTGCACTACTTCCCCGCCCAGAGAACCAGGGTCACCACTCTGCCAGGTACTGCGGGCATGGGTGGGCACTGGGGACAAGGACAGGACCCCGTGCCCCACCTGGGGCTCCCACCTTGTGCTCTGTGGAGAAAGAACCGTGAGGATATTGCAGGAGAAGGATCCCTGAGGATATTGCAGGAGAAGGACTGTGAGGATATTGCAGGAGAAAGACCTGTGATTGTATTGCAGGAGAAGGACTGGGAGGATATTGCAGGAGAAGGATCCCTGAGGATATTGGAGAAGGACCCGTGAGGATATTGGAGAAGGATCCCTGAGGATATTGCAGGAGAAGGACTGTGAGGATATTGCAGGAGAAAGACCTGTGATTGTATTGCAGGAGAAGGACTGGGAGGATATTGCAGGAGAAGGATCCCTGAGGATATTGGAGAAGGACCCGTGAGGATATTGGAGAAGGACCCGTGAGGATATTGGAGAAGGATCCCTGAGGATATTGCAGGAGAAGGACTGTGAGGATATTGCAGGAGAAAGACCTGTGATTGTATTGCAGGAGAAGGACTGGGAGGATATTGCAGGAGAAGGATCCCTGAGGATATTGCAGGAGAAGGACTGTGAGGATATTGCAGGAGAAGGATCCCTGAGGATATTGCAGGAGAAGGACTGTGAGGATATTGCAGGAGAAGGATCCCTGAGGGTATTGCAGGAGAAGGACCTGTGGGGATATGGCAGGAGAAGGACCCGTGAGGATATGGCAGGGGAAGGACCCATCAAGATATTGCAGGAGAAGGAAAAGTCTGGCTCTTATCAGGACTCGGGAGTGAGGAGCTCAGGGGATGGCAGAGCTGCGGGTGTGGGAGGTGACTGCCAGAGAAATGAAGGATTTTATGCTGGTGCCAGGGCAAAGTTAAGATAGAGGATGCTGGAATGACCCAAGGCAAGTCTGGGGTTGAGAGGGGAAGAACTCGGAGCAGGATCAGCCTCTCTGTGAGAAAATAACTCAGATTTTATTGGGGGGGCAGCCTGCAGAAATGGGACAAACTGAAAAACTGGGCTGGGGTGGCAAAGTCAAGGTGGACTTGCACACAATATTAATTTTCTGCATGCAAGAACAGTTCTGGCTGAAAGGCTGAGAAACCCTTTGGGCTGAGCTGTGTGATGAGCATCAACATCTGCTTGCTGGGTTGATTTCAGTTCCACTGGGCTGATTTCAGTTCCACTGGGCTGATTTCAATTCCATTGGGTTGATTTCAATTTCTTGATGGGTTGATCTGAATTCCTTGATGGGTTGATTTTAATTCCTTGCTGGGATGATTTTAATTCCACTGCGTTGATTTTAATCCAGTGGGTTGATTTTAATTCCTTGCTGGGTTGATTTGAATTCCACTGGGTTGGTTTCAATTCCACTGAGTTGATTTCAGTTCCACTGGGTTGATTTCAGTTCCACTGGGTTGATTTCAATTTCACTGGGTTGGTTTCAATTCCTTGCTGGTTTGATCACTGAGTTGATTTCAGTTCCACTGGGCTGATTTCAGTTCCACTGGGCTGATTTCAATTCCATTGGGTTGATTTCAATTTCTTGATGGGTTGATCTGAATTCCTTGATGGGTTGATTTTAATTCCTTGCTGGGATGATTTTAATTCCACTGCGTTGATTTTAATCCAGTGGGTTGATTTTAATTCCTTGCCGGGTTGATTTCAATTTCACTGGGTTGATTTCAATTTCACTGGGTTGACTTCAGTTTCACTGGGTTGATCTGAATTCCTTCCTGGGTTGATTTCAATTCCGCTGGGTTGATTTTAACTCCACTGGGTTGATTTCAATTCCTTGCTGGTTTGATTTTAATTCCACTGGGTTGATTTTAATTCCTTGCCAGGTTGTTTTCAATTCCACTGGGTTGATTTGAATTCCTTGCTGGGATGATTTTAATTCCACTGCGTTGATTTTAATCCAGTGGGTTGATTTTAATTCCTTGCCAGGTTGTTTTCAATTCCACTGGGTTGATTTGAATTCCTTGCTGGGATGATTTTAATTCCACTGCGTTGATTTTAATCCAGTGGGTTGATTTTAATTCCTTGCTGGGATGATTTTAATTCCACTGCGTTGATTTTAATCCAGTGGGTTGATTTTAATTCCTTGCCGGGTTGATTTCAATTTCACTGGGTTGATTTCAATTTCACTGGGTTGACTTCAGTTTCACTGGGTTGATCTGAATTCCTTCCTGGGTTGATTTCAATTCCGCTGGGTTGATTTTAACTCCACTGGGTTGATTTCAATTCCTTGCTGGTTTGATTTTAATTCCACTGCGTTGATTTTAATCCAGTGGGTTGATTTTAATTCCTTGCTGGGTTGATTTGAATTCCACTGGGTTGGTTTCAATTCCACTGAGTTGATTTCAGTTCCACTGGGTTGATTTCAGTTCCACTGGGTTGGTTTCAATTTCACTGGGTTGATTTCAGTTTCACTGGGTTGATCTGAATTCCTTCCTGGGTTGATTTCAATTCCGCTGGGTTGATTTTAACTCCACTGGGTTGATTTCAATTCCTTGCTGGCTTGATTTGAACTCCACACCCGTGAAGCCCAAGATGTTGCAGCTCAATAATGCTCACTAAACCCTCATTCTCACCTCTCCCCGTTGCTTCCAGAGGAAACCAGCCCAGTTCAGGTTCTCATCTCAGACTCTGGACCCCACAGCTTCCACGTCAGCTGGGCTCCCGTGCTGGACAGCGTGGCCACCTACCAGGTGCTGTACGGGCCGCTGCCAGGGAACTCGGCCAAGCTGCTGCAGGTGGATGGGGGGCACAACGGCACCCTGGTGGAGCACCTGGCACCCAACACCACCTACCTGGTGACAGTCACTGCCATCTACAGATCGGGGAAGGAGAAATCCCTGTCGGCCAAGGCCTGCACCCAGGAAGGTGAGGAGGGCAAGTGGCAGCACCAGGAGGGTCCCAGAGGGGCACCTGCCTCGGGGTGAGCCCAGAACCCAGCCCTGGTGGATTTTTATTATTCAGGATCCACTATTTTATTATTCAGAATCCAGCCCCTGGGTGGAGTTTTGTTGTTCAGGATCCAGTATTTTATTATTCAGAATGCAGCCCCTGGATGGATTTTTGTTATTCAGAATCCACTATTTTATTATTCAGAATCCAGCCCTGGGTGGATTTTTGTTGTTCAGGATCCACTATTTTATACCCAGAATCCAGCCCTGGGTGGATTTTTATTATTCAGGATCCACTATTTTATTATTCAGAATGCAGCCCCTGGGTGCATTTTTGTTGTTCAGGATCCACTATTTTATTATTCAGAATCCAGCCCTGGGTGGATTTTTGTTGTTCAGGATCCACTATTTTATTATTCAGAATAATAAATATTCTGAATATTTATTCCCCTGGGGTGGGGAAGCTGCATGAGCAGCTCTGGATGTGTAGCAGATGTGTCAGGGCTGGAAGGGAGTCACACACACAGCACCAGCTGTTCATGGGGCTGGCACCCCTGCAGATCCCAGAATCTCCCTAAAGGAGGAAGAAAAGTGCCTTTCCTGACTCTGTGCCTGTTCCTTGGGGTGATCTGGATTACAAGGGTCGGAGTTGATGAAGTTAACGAGCAGAAGCTTGTGCTCTGTGGAGAGGAACCCATGAGGACATTGCAGGAGGCAAAGTCTGGCTCTTATCAGGACTCGGGAGTGAGGAGCTCAGGGGATGGCAGAGCTGCGGGTGTGGGAGGTGACTGCCAGAGAAATGAAGGATTTTATGCTGGTGCCAGGGCAAAGTTAAGGACTAATTAGTCTGAGCTCAGAATTCACAGAATCCCCAGGCTGGAAGAGACCTTCAAGACCATGGAGCCCAACCCAGCCCCAACCCCTCAGCTCAACTCTGGCACCCAGTGCCACATGCAGGGATGGGGACTTCAACACTTCCCTGGTTCCTGGGGATTCCTGAAATTCCCCCAAATTCACAGAATCCCCAGGCTGGAAAAGACCTTCAAGACCATGGAGTCCAGCCCAGCCCTGACACCCCAGCTAAACCCTGGCACATCCAGGCTTTGTTAAACCCACCCAGGGATGGTGGCTCCACCACCTCCTTGGGTTCCTGGGGATTCCTGAAATTCCCCCAAATTCACAGAATTCAGATTCCCCAGGCTGGAAGAGACCTTCAAGACCATGGAGTCCAACCCAGCCCCAACTCAACCCTGGCACCCAGTGTCACACCCAGGGATGGTGACTGCAGCACCTCCCCGGTTCCTGGGAATTCCATATTTATAGAGAGTTATATATATATGTCTATATATAAATATATAGTTATAGATATTAAGTTATAAAGATATAGACTTATATATATAGTTATATAGAGAGTTTTTTATATATATATATAGTAATGCTGGGTTTTTGCAAGTGTTAAATTGGATTTTATGTGCGTAGTGTCATAAAGATATATTTATTTTTTATTTTTATATTTAATTTCTATTTCTATTTCTATTTATAGACAGTTTTATATATATATGTCTGTATATAAATATAGAGTTGTTCTTTATTAAACTTTTTCCATTTTTCCTCTGTGCTCCTTGTCTCCTTTGTCCTTTATTAAGCTTTTCCCATTTTTCTCTGTGCTCCTTGTCTCCTATTGCCCTTTATAAACTTTTCCCATTTTTGCTCTGTGCTCCTTGTCTCCTTTGTCCTTTATTAAGCTTTTCCCATTTTTCTCTGTGCTCCTTGTCTCCTATTGTCTTTATAAAACTTTTCCCATTTTTTGCCCTGTGCTCTTTCTCTCATTTGTCCTTTACTAAACTTTTCCCATTTTTGCTCTGTGCTCCTTGTCTCCTATTGCCCTTTATAAACTTTTCCCATTTTTGCTCTGTGCTCCTTGTCTCCTATTGCCCTTTATAAACTTTTCCCATTTTTCGCTGTGCTCCTTGTCTCCTATTGCCCTTTATAAACTTTTCCCATTTTTGCCCTGTGCTATTTCTCTCCTTTGTCCTTTATAACCTTTTCCCATTTCCACAGGAGGCTGACAACCCCCTCTGCACACACCAGCCCGTTCTTCGCCCCTCGGCCAGGAGCACCCCACTATGGATTATTTTTTTCTCTCCCTTACTTCATCCCTCATGAAGATTGACCAGAATCGTTTCTCTCCCGTGTCTGGCAGGTGCACAGCGTGCTGCTCAGCGGCCTGGCCCCGGGCAGCAGGGCCAGGGTGTGCGTGCAGCCCGTGTACAGCAGCCAGCCTGGCAGGAGGCTCTGCCGCGCCGCGCTCAGGCAGCCAGGTGAGCTCAGCCCATCCCTGCAGCTGCGAGAGGGATCTTAGTCTTCAAAGAAACAGGATTGATGGCTATAAAGTTGTTTATCGCATGAATACTTCGGTTGTTTACCGCATGAATACAGCAGTTGTTTATTGCACGGTGACATCAGCCCCAAAGGCGAAGAATGCAGAGAATTGAAGTGCAGGCTAAAAGCGTTCTGGCATTGATGCTTTGTGTGGGCTGAGCTGGAGCAGAGGCTGGAGAGTTACGGAATATTGTCTGCTCAGCATCAGCACTGCACATCGAGGGCTGGGCATCAGGGCAAAGCAGCAGCTTGGGATCAGGAGGAGAAATCTGGGAGATGGGGAGAGGAAAACACACTGCAACCTGAGCAGCAGCTCCTTGGAAATATTTGGAGTGATGCCTTGGGAAGGGTGACCTAGAACAGACTGGACAGAGCTAAAGAATAAAGCAGGGATTTATGAAAAGGATCTCCTCCATGGAGCCACCTTGGGCAGCACCAGAGCCCAGCCAGGGCTGCACCCAAGGTGAACCAAAATGGTCCCAAAATGAGCCCAAGATGAACCAAAATGGTCCCAAAATGAACCCAAGGGGAACCAAAATGGTCCCAAAATGAGCCCAAGGGGAACCAAAATGGTCCCAAAATGAGCCCAAGGGGAACCAAAATGGTCCCAAAATGAACCCAGGGTGAACCCAAATGGTCCCAAAATGCTCACGGGGTCTCTCCCTGGGCTCAGCTCTGCTCCATGTGCAGGTTGCAGTTCAGTGTCCAATCCCACTGCAGCCCCTGCAGTCCCATCCTTGTTTTCCTCTCTCCAGCCCACGGGGTTTGTGCTCCTGGGCTGAGCTTTGGATCATTTGTCCTTGGTGCCCAGCTGGAGCAGGAATTGTTTTGTCTCCCTGCTCTGTGCACAGAGCTCACCATGCCCTGATGTGAACCCAGACCCACACACTAAAGCAGCTCAGAATGTGAAAAATAAAAAAGTTAAAACCTGACAAATCAGCACAGAATCTGGAAAATAGAAAAGTTAAACCTGAGGCATCAGCACAGAGTCCCAGTGTTCCAAGCAGCAGCAGCAGCTGGCAGAAGCCACTGTCACTTCTCTTGCACCCCAGTACAAGGGGATTTTATTCATAAATCATCCAATCAGCTAAAAACCCAATTCTAAAGCATTTTTCCTACACCTGTCTAATTCCAATGTGGGAAAGTAGTGTCAGTTCTTACAGAAAATTTACACAAATAGTTCTGTTTGTTCTATCTAGAAATGTAATTATGTCTGGAGCCAAGTTAATTTTGTGAAAGGGAGCACTACTGAAGTTTAAACTTTAGGTTTTAGGGCTTTTTACTCTCTTAAGGGACTTAAAATATATTTCTACTTAGTTAAAATGCAAACTTACACTCCTGCTGTGTGGCTTAACAGATTTCAGTTTCCCTAAAGGTTCCCATTCCAGCCCTGCATCCTTTCTCTCTCTGCGGGGTTTGTGTTTCATGCATTCCAAAAGCACAGAGGACCCCCAGGGCTGGGATATTCTGTGCTCATCACCGCTCTTCCTTCACCACTGACCGACCAAAATTGGGCTTTTCCCCCCGATTTTAGGAGTAAGACTCCTCCTAGTGGAGTTTATTGCAGGCAGGAGAAAAGGGAGAACAGTGAGACAGCTCTGGAGCCACTTTGGGGTAACTGGGGTGGGAACACTGCTAAAAGTGCCGTGAAAAATCATCTGGGGCCTTGGTCGTCCTTCACTTGGCAGGGGACAGGTAACAATGAAAGTAATTTATAAAAAAACAACATTTCTTTCTTCCCTCTGCTGTCCAGAAACCACTTTCTGTCGTGGGCATTGAAGGATCCCTGACAGGATGGAGTAAAACAAAACAGAGTTACTAAATAAATCTCTTTTTTTTCCAGCTAGGGGCTGCAGTGAGGGCAAAAATGTGGGAATAAAGCACAGGGGACTCAGTTTTCTTCGTGGTGGAAAAGCTCTTTCTTCTTCTTCTTCTTCTTCTTCTTCTTCTTCTTCTTCTTCTTATTCTTCTTATTATTCTTGTTATTCTTATTCTTCTTCTTATTATTATTCTTCTTCTTATTCTTCTTATTATTCTTATTCTTATTCTTCTTATTATTCTTCTTATTCTTATTCTTCTTATTCTTCTTATTCTTATTCTTATTCTTATTCTTATTCTTATTCTTATTCTTATTCTTCTTCTTCTTCTTCTTCTTATTCTTCTTATTCTTCTTATTCTTCTTATTCTTATTCTTCTTATTCTTCTTATTCTTCTTATTCTTCTTATTCTTCTTCTTATTCTTCTTCTTATTCTTCTTATTCTTCTTATTCTTCTTATTTTTTATTATTCTTATTATTCAGACCTCGTGTGGGACTCCAGTTTGTTAGTGGTTTCCTTGCCAATCCCATGATTAATTATTAAAAGTTGTTAAGCTGCATGGATGGTCACTCAAACTCTCCGTGTCCGCGTGCTGGGAAGGTCGTTGATGAAAAACAGTTTTCATTTTTCTATCTAAGGGTGTAAAAGCAGTTTATACAGGTGCGAGTTGTTTGTTTAGGCAGGACTAGATTGTTTTGTTAATGAGCTGCTCACACCAGCATTGCTTTCACATGGGAACTAACTTGGCTTAGATGAAATAAGAGTCCAGACAGAGCAGGCCTGATTTTATGAGGCTTTTCTTTATCATTTTTCTACCTTACAGCAACATGAAAATGCTGTATTTTTAAGGCATTAAATACAGCATAGAAATACATTTATTTATTAAATTTATTATCTGAATATTATTTTACACTATATTTATTATTATCAATGTAATTATTGATTCTCTTAATTAATTAATATTATTTAAATAAATGCATTTATTTATGCATTTAATCAATAAATACATTTATTATATAAATATTATTTAATAATCTATTATTTATTATTTATTTAATTATTAATTTCCTTTCTTAATTACTATTACGTAAATATTAAATAAGTAAATAAATTTCTTTATTAACATTTATTTATACATTTAATGCATGTATAAATGCATTAAATGTATAAGGGGTGAGATCTGTGGCTCAGATGTGGTCAATGGCTGGCTAAAGCTGACATTTTTATACCTTGTGCTCTGACACGTTTATTCCCTTTATTCTGCCATTTTTATTCCTCATATCCTGCCATTTATATTCCTTATATCCTGCCATTTTTTCCTTATATCCTGCCATTTTTTCCTTATATCCTGCCATTTTTTCCTTATATTCTGCCATTTTTATTCCTTTGATCCTGCCATTTTTATTCCTTATATTCTGACATTTTTTTCCTCATATTCTGCCATTTTTATTCCTTATATCCTGCCATTTTTATTACTTATATTCTTACATTTTATTCCTTTGATCCTGCCATTTTTATTCCTTATATCCTGCCATTTTTATTCCTTATATCCTGCCATTTTTATTCCTTATATCCTGCCATTTTTATTCCTTATATCCTGCCATTTTTTTCCTTATATTCTGCCATTTTTTTCCTCATATTCTGACATTTTTATTCCTCATATCCTGCCATTTTTTTCCTCATATTCTGCCATTTTTATTCCTCATATTCTGCCCTTTTTGTTCCTCGTGTCCCTGCAGCCACAGAGGCCCAAGGATACAGGCACAGAGAGCGTGACAGGCTGCAGTGAGCTGACCCCCAGCACAGCAGAGGCCTTGAACGGACAAAAATGTGGACAAAAAAAGGAGAACCCAGGGCGGGAAGAAGCTCAGCTCCCAGGCTGGGCTGTCCCTGGAGCTGTCCAGCAGGGTTTGAAGGCTTGGCCTGGCTGATGGAGCAGCCAGAGTGACAAAAGATGCCAAAAGTGTCCCCATTTTGTGCCAAACGAGGCGGAGTGGTGCAGCCCCGCTGGTGCTTGCTTGCTGCCCGTTCTGTTTGTTCCAGATTTATCTTTGCTGCTCAGGAGCACAGTCAGGACTTGGAGTTCATCTCAGAGAAAGATGAAATCTTTCTGGCCAAATCCATTGCTGAGTGCAACCCCTTCCCTGCAGGGAGCCTGGGAGGAAGGAGAGAGCAGGAAACCCAAAATCCTGGCAGTGCTTCCCTGCAGGAGCAGCCCGGACAAAACCACCCAAAGCACTTCTTTCTGCTCCTGTGCCCCTGCCTGGATCATTGCTCTGGCATTCCTGCACCAAACGGCAGTGCTGCTGTCCTCGTGGGGATTAATTAGCCCGTCCTGTCACTAATTACAGGCAATAAGTCTCCAGCACTGTCACTCCTCTGCGCTCTGAACACACGCAGCACATCTCTGCTGTCTTGTCTGGGGCTTCCACCCAGTGCTAAGCTTGAGCTGCACTTAAAAATCAATGTTTTTAAGGCAGAAGAGTAAATCTGATTATTTCCCTTTGCCCCTAAGCTTGAACTCGCTGTCTCTAAGCTGCTCTGGAAAAGCAAGCTGGGAAAAAAAAATAAAATAATTATAAATACCTAGTGACCAAGCAAATGGTTTCAAAGTTCAGGGCTGTAAAGAAATGTAGATATTTCTGTGCCAAACACCAGCATCAGTGGGAACACCCTCCCTCAGTAACTCCTGCTCTATTTTAAATTTATTGCTTATTTGCCCTCCGTGCAGAACTGGGTTTGGAAGCAGTGCTGTTTGTGGGGAGCCCCACACAGCCCCCCAAACCCTTCTGAAAACAGCTTAAACCAGCTCCTTTTGGAGCTGGGAGGAATTTTATCCCTGACTTTGTCTCCTGAGAGCTGAATCCTTCACCTCCACCTTCCTGGATAATTTTTCCTTGGGCTGCCCTGCTCAGGAGAGGAGGGAGGTGAGTCATTCATTAACTCTGTAAAGAGATTTTTCACGTGATTTGTGTCCTCCCCTGGAATGTGCATTTGTCACTGATTAATCTCAGCGCTGAAAGGATGGCAAAGCCCCTGGAACTGCTCATGCAATAAAACAATTTTGTTTCTTCTCACTGTAGGACAGAAATTAAGTTTGCACAACTCCCTGCGTAGTTTATTAATGCATTAATTTTCATCCCCCAAGTTGTAACACACCCTTTTGAAGACAATTAAATATAAATACAAGAGCTACGGAATGGTTCCTTTGTGCTTGCTGGCAAATCTGTGGGGTTTTTTGGGGAAAATTGTGGGTTTTGTTCCAGGAGTTGAAAAGCTGACATTCACAGAATCATAAAAGTTGGGAAAAAACTGCTGAGATCACCCCGTTAAATCATAATTTTAAATGAAGTGCACGTTCTACCCGTGCCTGAATAGCCTGGTTTCCTCCAAACTTTACCCCCATCCCTCAAAAAAATGTGTGGGAAATGTAAAAAATAGAAATATACTGGTCCTGATAAAGCCTCAGTTCCAGAAAGGATTGTTTTACAGGGAGAGCCCCTGAAATTTTGGCAGATCTGGTAAATATTTGTGCTCAGACTGGGATTGTTGGGGTGTCCTGGACTCTGATCCTTGTGGATCCCTTCCAGCTCGGGATATTTTGGTTTCCATGGATCTAAGTGTGAATTTGAGAAGAAAAATGCACATTTAGAGAAAAAATAAAAGTTCTGAAAGGTGCCCCCGGCCTGCTGCTGAGGGCTGGGCGTGCTCCAGGCGTGTTCTACATTTTACACATTTCAGGCTGCAGAACTCCACGTGTTCCTGACCTTCACTGCATTCCCCTTTCCTCTCGTCTTTCCCACTCCGAAATCATGGATTGGGAGCTGATTTCCATGGGAAATCCTGCTCTTTATCCCAGATAACCACAGATAAGGGGGTCCCTGTGCTCCCTTTTCAGGAGGCTCCTGTCTCATCTTTCCCATTCCAAAATGATGGATTGGGACCTAATTTTCAGGGAAATCCCATTCTTTATCCCACATAATCACAGATAAGGGTTTCCCCGTGCTTTCCTTCTTTTTTCCACTTCTCCATCATCTTTCCCATTCCAAAATGATGGATTAGGAGCTGATTTCCAAGGAAATCCCACTCTTTATCCCAAATAACCACAGTGGTGGGTTTCTCTGTGCTCCCCTTTTCTGCTTTCCCACCCTCTCTGCCATTCCAAGGAGAGGATTTTGAGGGAAATCCAGGATAACCGCAAGGGAAACCCGGGATAACACCAGTTGGGAGCTGATTTCCAGGGAAACCCGGGATAACACCAGTCTGCAGCCAATTTCCAGGGAAATCCAGGAAAACCCAAGTGAAACCCGGGATAACCCCAAGTTAAACCTGGGATAACGCCAAGTTAAACTCAGGATAACACCAGTCTGGAGCCGATTTCCAGGGAAACCTGGGATAACCGAAGTTAAACCCGGGATAACCCAAGTTAAACGCGGGATAACGGCAAGGGAAATGCGGGATAACACCAGTCTGGAGCCGATTTCCAGGGAAACCCGGGCTAACCCAAGTTAAACCCGAGATAACCCAATTTAAACCCGGGCTAACTGCAAGGCCGCGCCGCCCCGCGGCCCTTAGCAACGCCCCTCACTCCCGTTGCTATGCGGAAGCGCCGCCCTATTTGTCCCTCCCGGCTCTCCGTCCCCCACACTCCTCTCCCGCCCTCCCCGCCTCTTCCAACCAATCAGACCCCACACGCGGCGCCTTTCCGCCAATCAGAGCGCGGCGCGGCTCTGCGGCCACCCAATGGGAAGCCGTCCCGCGCGCGGCGCAGGCGCGCTGGCCGCGGCGCGTCCCCCGCGTGCAGCCGCCGCCGCCGCCCTCATGTCGTGGCTGTTCGGGCTGAACC